AACAGCTTCTCATTAGTCGGTATAGAAGGTTCAGATATTGTCGATGGTAATAAATTGTTAACCTTGGCATTAGTATGGCAATTAATGAGACGTAACATCACCAACACCTTAGCGCTGTTAAGTAACGATGGTAACCAAAACTTAACTGATGGTGATATATTGAAATGGGCCAATTCTCAAGTCGTAAAAGGTGGCAAGAATTCTACTATAAGATCATTCAAAGATTCCTCTTTGTGTAATAGTGTCTACTTGTTGGATGTATTAAACGGTATGAAGCCAGGGTATGTTGATTACGACTTGGTTCATCAAGGTTCTAATTTATCTGAAGACCAAAAGTATGCTAATGCTAAATTGGCTATTTCTATCGCCAGAAAATTGGGAGCTTTGATTTGGTTAGTTCCAGAAGACATCAATGAGGTTAGAAGCAGATTGATCTTATCCTTCGTCGGAAGTTTGATGTGTGTAGCGGAAAATTAATTCCTCCTCTCTTCTTCTGCTGTGTTATTATATATTTCTTAATCTATATACATCCTTGAATTCGAGAAGCCAACATAGATTTGTCTTGTGTAGGTTAATAGAGAACTCTATAAAAATATTCAATATATCACGTGATTTCTCGTTCTCGTTTTAAACCAATGAAATTTTGACCATTGAAAATTGAAGAGTTTTAGGATAAATAGAATCAAACAAATAGGTTAATACTACCAAATATGTCAAGCTCTATCTTACCATTCACAGAAGCTAATTCTAAGAGAGTTGCTTCTTTATTTAGAAGAGCATTAAGAACTGCGTTTGACAGTTCTTTAAAGTTCGATGCTTACAGAAACGAAACCATAAAAATTAGAGCCCAATTCGAGGCCAACAAGAACATTAACAATCCCTCCGATTTGGAAGAAGCTATTGCTAGGACAGAACGTAAATTGGAAGAATGGAACCACCCAGATCCTTACATCACCCCTTGCAGACCAGGTGGTACCAAATACCAAAGAAACCTCCCATCCCCAGATGAGCCAGTTGTTCCAGGTAACTGGTAAATTATATGTACTGCTATGATTCAAGCACTGGTCTATTCTAGTATTCCGAGTTTCCATTATTATTGGGTGTCTCAGAATGCTCGTTGGGCTTTCCATGGAATTGTCGATGATTCGAAATGCAATATAGCCGTTTATGTCAATAGACTTTGGAAACTTCTTGATGTTTATTCTTTCACCTATTATTCCCATATATCCAGATCTAACCAATTTTGGCTGGTTTCTGGCAGTAAATCGTCATTTTTCATGTTGTGAAGTTACCATTCCTTCATTATTTTTTTATTTAGCACCGTATAGAAAGTACGGTGCTCTGTGTTTTATATAAACTATTGCACTTATAATATACTTCTTATCGTACGTTTTGTTGTAGTAACTATTTTCATTTTGTTGTGGTATGAACCTAGTCTTGTTAAGAAACCTCAATTCTATAAAATCTCAAATTTGCAACACACTGGCGGTTAATATTTTAAATGATTTATAACTCATAAACATACTCATTTTCAAAGGATCGAACAATGTTAATCTACAAGATATTCGATTATATTAGTCTCAAGCTACTTGGTCGTATCGAAAAGTTTATAAAAGATCTTAATGCAAGACTTTTGCGAGAATCAAATATCAAACTAATAGCAAATAGCGATAACACAGAGACTACTCTGCTGAATAACATAATACATACTACTGAAGACATCGAAAGAGAATACTTACTAGATACTGACCTCGATGCTATAGCTTACGATGTAGATCATGGCAACACATACTACACAGAAGAAGATGGTATGAACCTTTTCGATGGCTTTTTTGAGAATAGTCCAGGCGACAATACATGGTGTTGTTTATCTATATCAGGATACAATAACGTGCCGATTCAAAATATATTCACGGCACTTTCTTTGGCGGTATTTACGGTTTTGTTTGGCAGTTTAATGTACTTTGTCATAGAATACTTGATACCTAGAAAATTATCCGCTGGGAAACTAGACTATACCAGTTGGAATTCAAGTTTACAAAATGGACTTCACGCTCAGCGAGATGATTTATCTGTATCAGCCTTAATAGATACATATGCTTCACGCCCAAACTCTCAATCTAATTCAAAATTTCTTGTCCATGTTGAGGCAAATGCTCAGATACCTTATAGCCTGAGTAAACAAACCGGAGATTTACAACTGAATAACCTGAATTTTCTATCGTATGACTTTATAATAGATGATTACATGGGTGGCAACTTAGTGGATAACATGGATGAACTTGATGTTAAATATATGGCCTCGGAGATGCCAGTGGACAAGTCAAATATAGCTCCAATAATCAAACCAAAACTAAAAGAAGTTCGATATGCATCAAAGCAAGTTCGAAGTGAACATGAAGGGTCTTCCTCTGAAACCCTATTTCCTCATAATATATCTCAGTTCGAATACATTTGTCCGCATCTGGAGGACTCTTCACTATCATCTGCAGATTCCTCATCACCCCAGACAATAGAATCAGATATTCAAAATAACAGTATAGTAACAGATGATGAATTTGAAATAGGTCAACAAAATTGTTTACAGAATTTGTTACATTTGTACAATGAAACACACACCACTACTATCCCTTGTTTCCCAATAACAATTCAAAGTAGATATAATGGAGACATTTCCTGCCACGAAAGACGAGATACAAAACAAAGATGTTCTTCACAGGAAGAAACATCTCAAATAACAACAGAATCAGATTTCAACGAATTGGAATATATCGCCATGTATGAGAAATGTGGGTACAATAAGCGAAATATAAAGCCTTTCACTAAGCTATCGAGAACAAAATATAGTCCACTTTATAACGTACCAAAATTTGTATTATCTCAAACCACTGTACCACTCATTTCTAATGAAAACCTAGATCCGTCGGTATTCTTTGATCTATACGATTATTTGAGTTTGTTGGACATAAGTGATAGACAAGAATCTCTCAGGATCTTATCCGACAAGTATCATAATAATAGCCAACAAGTCATGAAATTAATAGAATTCGAAATCTTAAATCTATGCTCCACCTCAAATGAATTTGAAATACAAGATATAGTCAAAACATTGCAGTATATTATTTCCAGTGAGTATGATGGAGACAATCCAAATATTTCGAAGATTATTCAAATGTATAATAATTCCCTTAAAAGACATATCCATGATTTGCTTGCGCTATTAAGAACTCCCTTTGCTGAAAAAATAGTTGTTCTATTATGCGATTATCTATCATTCGCTGATAATAATAAAGTTGACATTGAAACTTATAATAATTGCCTAGAAACTATTATTGAAAGTACCGAATTCAACAAGGAGGCTTACAAAACTATTTCAAACTCCGCTTGTATAATGGTTTGTGCATTAGATTTCACAATGCTTCCATACACATTCTTCGTTATATTTGATCACATATTCATGGACGAGAAGTATAAGCCCAGCAAGCAAATAACTGCATTGAAATGTCTAAAATATTATATTTGTTTTAACAAGTTAAGCATAATCGATGAGCTAACCGCAAACCCTATGGAAAATAAGGTTAAATGCTGTGGCTACCAACTAGTAAACCTCTTATTATCAAATATTCTGAAAATAATTTGTATATCCCGGAGGTCCAATATCCCAAAAAAAGTAACTTCAAGTCCGAAATATAGCAATTCAGCATCTACTAATACAAATATTGATCCCCTTATCTTAGAATTAATTGATACTTATCTTGTTATCGTTGAAATATTTCTCAACAACGATAAAATTCCATCAGCAATCCAATACGAATTATTATCATCATTCATAACAAAGATATATACACAGATAAAACCATTTGTGGAAAATGACTTGAGAACTCTTGACCCTCCAATTCTAAAGGAGCTTCAAATTCATTTTGATCTAACCCAGTAGTCGACTGCATAAATATTTTATCCACGTGATACATCTAATTTTTTTTTCTCTTCAGAAAAAAACCTAAGATGAGCTGCAATTTACAAAAGTAAAGGCATATTTAGCAAAAGATTTCCCTATTTAAATAATAATCTACAAGAATGCCTAGATCCAAACGTTCCAAGCTTGTTACATTAGCACAAACTGATAAAAAGGGTAAGGAAAATAAGACCAGAATCTTCGACGAAGTCAGATCTGCCCTTGATGAGTTCCGTTTTGTCTGGATTCTTCAGTTAGATGATGTTCGTACACCAGTCTTGCAAGATATCAGAACCGATTGGGCGGGCTCTAAGTTAATCTTAGGTAAAAGAAGAGTATTAGAGAAAGCTTTAGGTGATACTCCTGAAGAAGAATACAAAGATAACTTACATAAATTATCTAAGTTATGTACTGGTGTGTCAGGCTTATTATTCACTAACGAAACTCCAGATACTGTTCAAGCTTACTTCACTGCCTACTCAAAGCAGGATTACTCCAGAGCTAAGTCAAAGGCACCAATTGATTTCACCATTCCAGAAGGTATTGTGTACTCCAGAGGTGGTCAAATTGCAATTGAAGAAGATGTTCCAATGTCACATTCATTAGAAGAAACTTTAAGGAACAAGTTGAAAGTACCAACGAAAATCAAGGCTGGTAAAATCATTCTTAATGAACCTTACGTTGTTTGTACTGAGGGTGAAACTTTAGATGTTAGAAAGGCTTTGTTATTGAAACAATTTGGTGTAGCTGCTTCTGAGTTTAAAGTTAACACTATTGCTTACTTTGATAATGAGAGTTCAGAAATTACTAAATTTGATTAAAAGATAAAATCTCTAATCACAAATTACTTGCACATTTCATCTTCTTGCATTAGCAATTCTAATTAAAATGCTATTTAGAATAATTCTATGGTTCAATTTACATGTATAATAACAATCTCTTTATAAATTTTTACAAACTGTTTATTCTTAATGTTTTAGTCGATTATAGTATAGTATTAAGTTAACCGTTACGTGTCTAAAATTACAATGTTATAAATATTAGCCTATTCCCATTCTTCGTCCTCGTCTGCAATGACCTTTTTACTTTGAACGAAGAACAATTTTGATGTATCTTGACCCAAGTTTTTAAAAGCAAACGAATTTGCTCTAGGGACATGAAATGAACATCCTCTTGTAACTACGAACTTGTCCTCGTTAATAGTCACTTCTATAAGGCCCTTCACCACATGAAATATATAAACAGAATCAGAGGAATTCCTTAAGCTCTTGAATCCACCATAGGGAAATTCAATTAGCCCACCAGCTGTAAAATCTCGATCATTACCGAATAAAGCTGCAACTTTAAAGTTCTCTATTTCACCTGTATTTGGTGGATTTTCAAAATTACCTTCATTAGGGGCCCACGCAACAGATCTTTCAACCCTATCATCGCTTGGTCCCTCAAACACTCTAAGCTTCAACGACTTGTCCTTAAACCACTCTGATCCAGAAATCTCCGGATCTGATTCATAATCATATGCAACTTGTTTTGGCAGCGATTTTTTCAGTTTTGGAGGGGTTATTCTCAGTTTCAGTACGGACCTTTTCTTATTCACATTTGTGGCGGCCTGTTTATTTGTTTCTGGAATGTGTACAACAGCTTCTATTTCCTGTAAAGGTATGTTCTTTATATCACTAGCAAGTGTAGTATCTGCATCCTCTTCATCTATTGCACGAGTATATACAATTCTTTCATTCCTCCAAAATGCTAATGGCGCAATTTTTGTTCTCTTAGACCTTCTAAGGCCATCAGGAGGAGGCGATGGTAATGGTGACGGTTTCGTAATAGTTTCTTCAGGAATCTTGTTTCGCACGGGTTCCTTCTTCGTTGTTGGTGGTGGCGAAAGTAAGTCACTTTTATCGTCCTGTGCATATTCCTGTGTAGTTTCTTCTTCCGATTCATCCTCGATTATCGAACGCTTTTTCCTAGGTTTAGTTGTACCTAGCGCCATTTTCTTTGTAAGTGATGATGCCGATTTATTCCTGTTTGATTTTGATTTAGGTGTTCCCGTATCTGATTTCTTTGAATCTTTAGATATGAACTCAGTTCTTAACTTTATCGGTGATAGGTCCACTGGTGATAAACTCATGTCTATATCATCCCCGTATAAATCGTTATCCATGTCATTATTATCATTGTAGCCATATTCCTCATCGTCTCCTGTGCCTTCCTCTCTTCGTTTGTGGCCTTTATTCTCCTGAAGCGGCGACCTTAAAGGAGATTTCTTATTTCTGTTTTTAGAACGTTTGGACTGTATTGATATTGGTGATAAGTTAAAAGGCTCTGCTTCCACATCCGTGAAGTTTATTTTTCGAGCAACATTATTAAAATTATGCCTAGGTGTCGAAGACTCAGCTGAAACTTCTGATCCTCTAGATACAACCAGTCCTGATGCATGTATGGACTTATCTGATTCATGCGGCCTCCTTTCATTATAGTCACTATCTTTATCCTCTTCTTCAGCAAAGAACTCATCCACATCTTCCATATTATATTTATCCTTCCTCAAATTTGCTCTTGGTTTTAATCCAGTTTTCCGGGATTGTGAACCAAGATTCAACAAATCCATCTTCTATACCGATACAATGATGCTCTTACCACTATTTTCTCTAGTGTGTTTTTAGTTTTAGCTGAAAACCCTTATGCTAGTAGCAAAAACAAAATAAACAAAAAAGCGTGATACAAAACGCGCTATCATATATTAAATGTCGACTTCCTCATTAGGCAAGAAGTTGAAATATTTACGTATGTAGTTATGTCTGCAACTATCACTTTTACACCAGAAGAACCAAGTCCTGGAGGTTATTCACGGTTAACTTGTATGCAACGATAATCCCATCAGTATAGGTCACATAAATAAAATAGCGTGGAAATTTGGGTAAAGACATATCCCTAATGGCTAAACCAGCAATGGTTCTGTACCCACGGGAACCCAATGCTAAGCTTAGAGCATTAGGAAAAATATGTTCTTGTCGCATACCTAATAGCCCTCTGTGCTGGCACAATCGCATGATGCTTATTAGGCCCTGTTGGGTGACAGCTATGAAGCACAGTAATGCAGGAATTATATGGGTGATTGAGATTCTGTTTGAGAACTTACTCTCATCACTAAAAGGAATTGATAAATTAAAGAGTTTCTTCGTGGCTGAATTACAATATAATGTATCGGCCCTGAAGAGACCCAATTTTTTGGAAGTAGACACCGCAAGCATATTGATGGAAGGTTCATCTAAAGGCCAATAAGACTTACCATTCAACGATTTCTTCTTTGAAATATATCTTTGTTGTTGATTACACGCAAAATTATCAATGCCCTTATGGATTCGTCTATAATCATCATCGACCCCAGTAAGCTTTGCTGATTCAAGTGTTGGATCTTGGTTTTCTGTCGACTTAGTTGTAAGTGTCAAAACTGGACTCTCGAAAAATTGCCAGCGGGCGCTCAAACCCAAATGACTTGTTTTCAAAGGATCATATTGGAAATCAAGTATTTCTGACTCGTTCATTATATGTTCTATTTCCTGCTCTTCGTTTATTCTGTGATCTCCTGTCATGGCTCTCATTGACTGAACTTGTTTGAATGCATTAGATGAAATGGGTTTACAAGTCCAACAATCTTCACCAAGCAAAACCCTGTTTACCACTGTTGGACTATTAAATAATACTCGGTGAAACCTCTTCATCCTTAGTTCTGTTTCTCTCGAATCTTCTTCTGACGGTCTGTTCTCTCGTCTACTTTCTATTTGAGCCATGGTCGCATCTACATAATAGATAACGTCATTTCTGAAATATTCGTATTCGTCTCTATCAAGTGGCCCATCATTTAACTTGAAATTAAATTTGAATATTATCAATTCTCCCGAAATAGAAGCACAAGCGACCTTGATTGTATGGATCTCATCTTGAATGTGTGATGACAAAAATGAAACCTCTGGTATATTATGCAATACTTGGTGACTTTTAATATGATAAAACCTTTCATCTTGTACATGGTAATAGAACAAAACAATACTTTGAGAATTATCGGAAGCTATAATTAAATTATGCATACTTCCGCTGTCATCTTCATAAGATAAAAAGTCTAATCCCCAAAGAGATGCTTCCATTTTCAATTTGAAATCTGGCTTTATTTTAATACCATAAAATCTATTTTGATTTGTATATGAATCATCAAGCTCTGATTCATTGACCATTTTGTTATTTTTTGTTAAACCGAACTTTGCTATTTGTTCTGTGATTGTTTCTACATACCATATCATTAAAGTACCATCGTCGAGACAGGCACCTAATATCGGTTTACCTAGCCAAGTATCAGTTTTTAAGAAGTTAATAGTATGCGGGAAATAAGGCCATGTAGAAATAAGTCTATCAGTTGTAGAAGTAAATGTCGGTTTTGTATCAAAGCGAAACACTGGCAAGTGGTTCGGCAATTGAGATATGGAATCAAAATCAAATATTACTATATCCGAATTTGCACAAGTGACAAGAAAATTATTTCCTTCAGAATCGGATATTATTGCACTTATATTATTCTTATATTTTCGAACATTATCAAGACCCATTAACTTCTTAACTCCTAAAGGTTCCAATTGTATCAGATCCCTAAATTTTCGAGCTGGAGGTAAAATAACAAGTTTAGTTGGGTCTGAATCTTCAATTGCAGTAAATTCAGACCTATGTGGATCATAAATTCCGCCATTAGCTTTGCAACTTCCCCTTATTCTTCTGTATGCTTGATTTTTATTTGATATAGGCTCCTTGTCATGATCTATATCTATATGGCTATCAGTTACTGTTTTGCATTTATTATTAATATTGTTATCATCATCATCATCATCATCATCATTATCATTATCATCATTATCACTATCATCATTATCATTATTATTACTATTATTATTACTATTATTATTACTATTATTATTATCATTGTTATCATTGTCTTCATTATTGCTCTCAAGCCCATTGGAGCTTGCAATTTCCACCCGAGTTATAGAATCATGAGCTTCCCAATTTATAAATGCTATTTGACTATTAAGTGGAAACTTACCATTTATAATCCCAGGTTCGATAGGTTCATATTTAGTACGATCCTTTGAGTTATTCCCATATCTTCGGTCTCCGAATTTATTGAAAGCAACATATTGAATTTCTTTATCAATGGCGCTTATACAAGCATCATTATTCTCATCAATTCCTAAATCTACCTCATTAAATTCATCCGAAGTAAAGCTCTCTCTTCTTTCAGTATAGAATTCGTCTGCATCAGGATTCTCCTCAAGTCTACTAAGTCCAAAATAGTCAATTACTCTCTCATCGTTCATATCAATATCTATATTATCGACATCGAATATGCCTAGATTATGGTTTTCAGCGTTAATATTGGCCTCAACGGCTGATTCATCATCACTACTAGAAAATAAATTGTAACTCCTTCTGGATTCTCTCGGAGACCTTGTTTCGTCGTCATGCTGCTCAGTGGATTTCGGCACTCTTTTTATTCCTCTATATTCCAAAAATCTGTTAAACCTCTCGTCATTACTTGGTAGAACTTTATCCTCATTCATAGTTAATGTTGATATACAGAATAAAAGGTTACAAGCAAGATATTACAGGCTTATCTCTTTAGTTGGCCTGATGCGCAATAAATTTTTGATATTTTAGAGAAAACCTACTTTTGGTAGTATATACAGAAATATAGCTATTAAAGACATTCAATATGGGCGAGGGTAAACATCATGCAGACTATACGAGTTATTCCAATGATGGTGGAAAGGAGGAAATTTTACAATCTGTAGTAGACTCATATGAAGCATTATCATACGATACAAGGAACTGGGTAGCTAATTTAGCCAACTGTTCATCTTTATTATGGCATGCATATCATTCAATGAAGATTAATGTTAATTGGTCTGGATTCTATGTCTTAAATGAATTCAAAACAGATGAATTGATATTAGGACCATTTCAGGGTAAGGTAGCTTGTCAAATAATTAAGTTTGGGAAGGGTGTTTGTGGCAATGCTGCATCATCAGCAAAAACCCAACTAGTTCCAAATGTAAACGAATACCCGGGTCATATAGCCTGTGATGGAGAAACTCAGAGTGAGATTGTTGTTCCAATTGTAAATAAGGGCCAAGTAGTAGGGGTTTTAGATATCGATTGTTTGGCCTTAGAAGGATTTGATGAAATAGATGTAAAATACCTTGAACAATTAGCAACTTTAATTGGTAATACTTGTGAATGGTAGGTTAATTAAATAGATTTTAATAAAAATACAAATAAAACTTATATTAACACAACATTATATAAACATACATATGAGTGGAAAAATACACCATAACGAAGGAAGATGAAAAATAGAAATTACAAAGAAAACATAGAGTTATTTTATTTAGATTCAGATTCAGCTCTTCTTTGCTCTTCTCTTTCTAAATTATGATACAATAAACTTTTTGCTTTTTCAACAGCATGAGCAGTACCCGATATAGTGAATACACGCTCAGGTTTGCCTTCAACTTCATCAGAAATTCCAATAGTGGCACCACTAACCTTTCGGACACCTTGAATTCTCGACCCGTTTTTGCCAATTAATGCACCAACCATATCATTCGCAAAAGAAATAGTGGTAGTAACAGCATTTTGGTTATTGAATCTCTTGTTAGTTTGGTTATTATTTCTTGCATAATTGGATGCTTTTGGAACATAATAACTAGTACCTACTATAGATGAGAAGTCCTCGATGAGACACCTGGAGATAATTCTCAACGAGTCATACAAGTTGTCGACAGTACCCTGTAATTCGACTAATCTTTCGTTTGACCCCGGTAAGAAGGACTTCGAAGCAATCATAGAAATATTGTAGTTCGCTTGGATCTGTTGAATTCTGGCACCTTTAGAACCAATTAATGTTCCCATCTGAGCATTTGGAATCAACAATCTTAAAATAGTAGTTTCTCCCTCGACACATGGATTCAGAGACAATTGTTTTAATGGAAAATAGCTGTAACTGACCAAGTTTTCGATGTTTGCATTACATAATGCTTGTGCAAAATAACTCAATGCTTTGGCGCAATCGTCCAATGTACCACTAACGGTAAGAATTCTTTCATGCGAGCCTGGTTGTAACTTCGAAATGCCAGCCTTCGTATTGGTCTCTTCTCTAATTGAGTCAATCACTGCTCCGTTCTGTCCAATCAAGCATCCAGACTCTTTAGCCGAAACTAAGACCCTATAATTTATCAATGCAGATGAATTAGAATTATCATTAATCGATGGTAATGTGTTTGTTTCGCCATTAGAATTATCATTGTTGCTATTGGTACTTGGAGATACTCCTGTGTTATTGATAGGGCTCTCTTCCGAAGAAATACCTGCTGTATTGCCTGTGGATGGCTCAGATGTGAATTTCGTATCAAATAAAGATTCAGTCATTATTGTAGATGAGTTTGAAAAATTGTTTATAATATAATTATGGAATTTGAAAAAAGGGTAGGTCGGTTTAATAGTTTTAATTAAATTAATTAGATAGTATTATCTTGGACTTTGATACTTATTAATCAATCAATTAACTGAATAATTGTGTATGTATACTCTTAACGTCTTCTTCAATATCCTTTGCGAGATTCTTGCTGAGATATGTTCGTCTAAATTATGTAATCAATGAATTGATACGGACTCTAATTAGTTTTCCAACTTGGGACAGATGAAATTCCAGGGTTTATGAAGCAAAGTAGACTATTAGAGGTGGTTTAAAGTGGTCCTGTAGTGCAAATGGTTACTTAATTATGATTATATCTAGTTTAAATTTACCTATACATTGAAAAGGTGGAATTGCCAAGCTGAATACGAGCAGACGACAAATTCTAAACGAAGTACCAATGACACAGTATTACAACAATACGTCTCATGGTCGAATTTATGGATATATGCAACAGCAGCCAGAGATGTACATTACACGGTAGCAGACTATACCTGGTGCGATATTTTTTTTTTTGAGGACCCTCCAATTCTAAGAACCCCTTTCGTTCACTATACAGTTGACGTAATCGTCCATACTGATGGTAGAAAACCGAGACGACATATCTGCACAGTTCGGGTCTTCAACATATGAGATTCTATCCGTTTGGCTGTCGGTGTGAAATCCCTCGGCAATTTCGCTATTTAGCATGTCTGCGTACGAATAGAAATCTATATACGCATTGGTAGATTGACTTGAATTGGACGAGTTATCACGAATTCCATAGTCAAAACTTGAAAAACGGTTGGATTTCTCCCGGTATGGCGAACAATCGGGGTTAGTTGGTGTCGTTGGATTAGGTTTACTATTGGAATTATGCATTGGTGGGACGGTTCTATCGATGGCCTCCTTGGGGCAGTTACTTAGTGTATTAGTACTTTCGTTCTTCGAAGTACACCCTTCTGCGTCACCTATGCAAGGAATAGAGTGTGTATGATTTCCGGCTGATGTTTGGCCATTAATGCAATTCATCAACGAATTACTCACAATCGACCGAGACCTTGACCAACGTCTCAATGGTACATTGGCCAGATGTGCATGTGGTTCTCCGTCACAGCAAACTAAATGAATATTGTTATATTCAATATTAGGATTACTAAATACTTCTGAAGTGTAATCCAATATAGGGGCCACATAATCTTCATTGTTACAAGGTAACGAAACAGAATTGTTTCGAGATGAATTCAGAGACTCTATTATTCTTTCAAAAATATCATCTGTATTTGTCATATCAAATATATATTGTATCAATCCATATAATAGCTCAATTTATTATCATATAATCATTTTTCAATTTTATTTGGGTTGAAATAATTTTCGACTATATATAGCAAACTGGTTAATTGAATCTGGTGACTTGATGACCATGTTTTTATGAAATTTTTAACGTCCGATTGAATAATTTAAGCCCGCCAACATATCATGACTTACGCTTTTCGAATGTTCGTCTATCATTGCTGGGACGTCAGGAACCTTGTATATGCTATATAAATAGCTAATCTATCAATATATCTCGACTATACTTCACTTGCATCATAGGCAAAGTAACCGAATATGATAAAATGTCGTGAATGATTCTGGGACCTATGTCGTCATATTTGCGACATTCTGTCCGCTTGCCATCTTAGAATATTGGTACCAAATTAGCCTAGTAAAAAGGATTGTAGTATAATCTACGGTGGCAAAGAAAGAGACCATTGGATATGAACTATACAGACGTCAAGACGACTACGCTTCATTTCGATCAGTTGAATTTGATCGATAAACTATCTATTCTTGCACCTTATAAACTCTATAACCCAAGCAACTTCATTAATCGTCAGATCAATTATGAAATAATCTCCTTCGTGTTACTTATTAGCATTGCATTGAGTTGTGCGGTGGTGGGAGCATATACTACAATCAGTAAGCCTGTGAATGCACTTGATCCCAACGAAGATATGCAATCAAAGTGGGATTGTACAGACAATGACAATTGTAATTACTACAAGGCAACAAATAGCGACCTTGAGTTGCTCAATATTGAGTCTATTGGATGGAAACATGCTTTAAGCTTGCCTTTGATAGGTTCCGTTGTATTGTACGGCTTATACTACGGGTTAACGCGTTTTGACAAGGATAGCCTTATGGTGGGCTTAAACTGGTACATTTTAGGAATGAGTGTGTTTCCCAACTATCTTACGTATCATTACTTGTTGACTGTCTTTACGAGAAAAATTCAGAATTGTTTCAAACTTCAACCAATTTTTCAGAGGTACAGAATGACATTATCGAAGGACGTCGACAATTTTCCATTGGGTGTGGTTGAACCTATCGACAAGACCAAATTCAAAAAGGTGTTGCGTCATTTGAGAAATGTTGGAGTGAAGGTTATCAAACCAAACTTGATTAAGACAGAAAACCAACTCATTAATTGCTTCTTTGATTTAAAGATTTTAGTCATTCTTCCCGTCAGTATATTTACTAGTTTTGGGTTCTTCAAATTCAACCCAATCTTGAATTCTCAGTACCCATTAAGTCAAACCAATTGGATGATCTCTGATATTTTAAGTATCAACTTTGCTATCTTTGGAATAAATCATACAAGGATCTCTAGTTTTAGAGTTGCATTTATATTGTTAGTTGGGTTGTTTATTTATGATATTTACTTTGTTTTTGGTACAAAAGTCATGGTTACTGTTGCTACTGGCTTAGATATCCCAATCAAAGTCCTTATTCCACGCAGTCCTGCTATTTATTCCAGCAATGTGTTTGTTGACTTGTACGAAGTATTAACTGACTCTCGTCATTGGGATACCCCAATGTCCATACTTGGACTTGGGGATATCGTCATCCCAGGTGCATTTGTCGCATTATGTCTCAGATACGACTTATTCAAGCATCACGAAGCTAATAGAAAGTCATTTCACCATTTGCAAAGCTATCCTAAGCCATATTTTGTTGTCAGTATTATTTCATACTTCGTTGGATTATTATTGACCGTCTCAGTCTTGTATGTGTACCAGGTAGGTCAGCCTGCCTTATTGTACATAGTACCATGCTTGATTTTAGGTGTTTCCTTATTGAGCTTGATCAGAGGTGAATTTGGCCAAATCTTGAACTACAACGAAGATATCGAAGAACCTACCGAAGAAGAACCTGAAGATCAGAACTCAGATCAGGACCCAGAAGATGAAGACAGCGAATACTCGGTTGGCGACGATTCAGAGTGGGAAAGATTAGTGGAAGAAAAAATGGAGATCGATGAAGATTTCGAGGAAACTGACTTAGACGAAATAGACCTCTTGATTGCAGACCAATCAAACCCAATCCAGGTTCCCATAACATATGAATTCGAGTCTGAAGACGACGACGACACTTTCATTATCGTGTCCGATGAGTCATCTGACTCCGAAGAAGAATCCAGTGACGAAGACGATGCCTCCGTCAGCCAATCTGACGAAGAATAAGTAACATTAGACATGCTGAATAGTAATATCCGTTAATACTACTTTTCTCATATAAACAAATATACACCTAAAATGCACATATACACCCGATAGTGCCGCTCCATAGCTTGGTTCGGCATTCGATCCGGCGTTATTCACACGATAACAGCCTGCTTTCGCAAGTCCAAGGATGGTCCGTACATCTCCATTACATAATCGCGACAGACCCTAACGAATTATAATTGCAATAATGCCATATCGCAGTGAGAAAGCGGATATATAAAATAGATTAAAATTCCCCACGATTTAATTCCGTTCGCTAAATATGATTGGATAGATAAGGAACAATCAGTGGCTATTAACATTTTGAGTGCGCGATAGTAGGGCCTCTGGAACGCTGTATAGATGAGCTATGGCAAAATTGATATGGGGAACCATTATTAATGTAATAGAACATGTAATTACATCAAAAGTGACATATGTAAATATTTAAATATATATACTCAGGCTTGGGCAAAAAATTAAAATTCTAGAGCACAGAGTAGTTTATGTATAAGCTATGAAACGATGCATTGAAACAACATATTCTCCCAGAAAACAAAGCAAACATAACCCATCCATAGTAGAGATTGAAGCATTGTTTGATTTTGGCCATGTACTTCAAAAGAAGCTGGACAGTGGAAAAGAAAAAAAGAATGGAAATGGTCATAACCACACAACTAATATTCCAAACGAACTTATCAGTCCAGGAGGCATGAAAAATGGCACTAAGGGGTCTACACTTAGTTGGACGTCTGCCAGTACTGTGGATGACGATAATTTAGGGGCCCCATGTACAATAATGCCATTTAGCTACTTAGACTTGGACTACGACTTTGAATTGCCTGTGGTTAATCTCGAATCAGATTTAAAATTGATGGATACGTTGTTATTCAATATTTAGGCTGCTGTATATCTTGTTGGCCCCTACGTATCCCTACGAGTTCAAAATTACCATAGTTAGAGACTGATTTTGTTTCGTTGAACCCACTTACCATTTACCTAATCACGGCGACTGGTTCGCCAAGTATAGCATAATGTACATATCCCAGTATATATCGTACTGATATGTACTTACTCATATATATGAATGCATGTCATTTGAAATATTTTGTAAACATTAAATAAGATAGTTACATCTACGTATTACCCTCTAAGAAATTCACCAAACAAGACAATAGAGCAGATATTCTATGGTATATATAATCTGTTGTATATATAAGTGGTCTAGACAGTTGTCAGTAGTATGGCTATATAATTGTAATTTATGGTACGTATTTGATAGTAAAGGTTGGTAATTTTCAATGAATGTAGAAAATTCGACGTCGCGATGAAAAATTATGAGATTTATGTCCACCACTACTAATACCAAAATTTACTGACTACAAGACATTCCTTCTTAAATATACTATAACGACATGGTTTTAGCAGATTTAGGATCACGTCTTAGAGGGGCATTATCCAATGTTGAGTCTGGATCAGAGACTGAGATTCAGTCGATGATAAAAGACATTTGTAACGCATTATTAGAATCAGACGTTAACATCAAATTGGTGGCCAAATTAAGAGATAATATTAAAGCCAAAGTCAAGACACAGATTAATGATGAGGAAAGTTCTACCAATAAAAGGAAGAAGTTACAGAAGATAGTGTTTGATGAATTATGTTCGTTAGTGGATTCCCATGAAGAACCACCAAAACCAAAAAAATTATCCCAACAACAGCAAAAGTCCAAAACCTTAAGAGGCAAAAAGGCTACTAAGGTTACTGGTGAGTCGCATATTATTATGTTTGTTGGTTTACAAGGGGCTGGTAAAACCACATCGTGTACAAAATTGGCCGTATACTACAAAAAGAGAGGTTATAAGGTAGGGTTAGTATGTGCCGATACTTTCAGAGCTGGTGCATTTGATCAATTGAAGCAAAATGCTATTAAATCTTCTATTCCATATTATGGGTCATACATAGAGACTGATCCCGTAAAAGTTGCATATGAGGGTGTCGTCAAATTCAAGCAAGAAAAGTTCGATATAATTATCGTTGATACTTCTGGTAGACATAAGCAAGAGCAATCTTTATTCAACGAAATGATCCAAATTTCAGAAATGATTGTTCCTACCCAAACAATTATGGTTATGGATGGTTCTATCGGTCAAGCTGCTGAATCTCAAGCTAAGGCCTTCAAGGAAAGTTCGCAGTTTGGTTCCATTATTTTGACCAAGATGGACGGACATGCTAGAGGTGGTGGTGCTATATCTGCAGTGGCAACAACCAAAACCCCAATTGTTTTCATAGGTACAGGTGAGCATGCTACCGACTTAGAGATTTTTAAACCAACATCTTTTATTTCAAAATTATTAGGAATTGGTGACATTCAGTCATTAATCGAACATGTTCAGTCCTTGAACTTGCAAGATGACGAGTCTCATAAAAAGACTATTGAAAATTTTAAAGAAGGTAAGTTTACTTTAAGAGACTTCCAAACCCAGATGAATAACTTCATGAAAATGGGACCCTTAACGAACATTGCTTCCATGATTCCGGGTATGTCGAACATAATGTCCCAGGTTGGCGAAGAAGAAACTAGTTCCAAGATCAAAAATATGATTTACATAATGGACTCGATGACTACTAAAGAATTGGATAGTGACGGGCGTATCTTCACTCAACAACCAGAAAGAATCATCAGAGTCGCCAGGGGTGCAGGTTGTTCGGCAGTCGAGGTTGAAATGGTCTTACAACAGCAAAGGATGATGAGTGCTATGGCGGTTAATGCTAAAAATATGGGTGGACCTCAAAGTACTCCTGGTGCTCCGGGTGCTCCAGGTGCTGGTGGAAACAATATGGCCAGAATGATGCAACAGGCTCAGCAAAACCCAGGTTTCATGCAACAAGCCATGAATATGTTTGGTGGCGCAGGTGGTGCTGGGGGTGCTGGGGGTATGCCCGATATGTCATCCATGATGAATAATCCTAACATGATACAACAGGCTCAACAAATGATGAGACAAAACCCTGGCATGATGCAACAAGCTCAACAAATGATGCAAAATCCTGGAATGATGCAAAAAATGATGAGCCAATTTGGTGGAATGGGTGGTGGCATGGGTAATTAACTATATATGCTCCTTTTCTACAATAATTCTTGAAATTCTCTAAGATATATTAATACATAGCTTCGGTGAGTATTTTGTAGTCCGTATCCGAAAAGGAATGAACGCAATTAAGAAGTCAGCTGACAATGAAATGGATTCCCTATCTTTCCTAAAACCACCTATTTCCTGTTAATTATAACGACACCATATATTGTATTAATCAGAGTTGTTTGGTTAATTAGTCACCATAGTGTAATCAGACATTTGCTTAAATCGGTTTGATTAGTAAATTAAATCTATAATATTTACTCATAGTAATATTAGCATGTCTTCAGACAATCATCAATCATCCAATCGTAACCATGGAATTGATCTCGAGGCAATTAGAGATATCTTGGATCAGGATAGTGTTGATAATTTGAAGGAAGTGAAAAATACTGATGTTGATTGGATATTAAGGGACTCAAATATAGAACGGCCTTTAACCAAGGAGCCAGTTAATACAAGCACAGGTATAGATAATGGGAAGAGAGATAACACGAACGATGATAATTCAAGTAATACGCCTGTTTCGCCTGTATCCCCCCATTTGCTGGCAAATATATCCAATACGAATGAAAATAATTCAAATAAGACCAGACCTTCCATGGCCCCAATTCAGGAAGAAAGTCCGTCTACAACACATGCATTACCGGTATCACAGGATTCAAGTAGTTCAAATAAAAGACGAGAAAGTGCCCCCAATTTTAGTTCACTGGGAGGGTTTTTTTCGAAGTTGAAAGGGAAGTTTGGTCATAAATCTCACGATGAACCAGCACCGTCACGCTCTCTGATCTTCAAAGATAATTATAGTTTAGGTTCAAGGAAATCTGTTTCAAGCGGTACAGAATTGGATGATTCTTCGACAGTATCATCAAAATATAATAATAATAGTGATCATCAATCTGATAATTTGCAATTAAGCAGATCTATGTCTACACCTAATTATTCAAATCCAGCATCCGATCCAAGGTTAGAAGAATATATTAAATTCTACCAGAGGAAGGACCTGCGTAAAAGTTCTGCTGCTTCTTCCAACAGGGCATCTGAGTCTACAACTCAGAGTAATGGAAATAGGAATCTTTCTATACCAGAACATCCTAAATATTCCCCTTTGCCTAGTGCTCTAGTGAACGGAAATCAAAATCAAAGTGAAGTTGGTCTATCTGAAGGTAATACTTCTACAGGTAACAAGTTTTCGTCTTTTCTAAGGAAGCGTAGTAGTACTAATCCACCATTACCTTCAGTATCAATGGCTACGGAAAGGAACCGTAGAAATTCGGAATCATTGGGTTCTTCACTGTCTATTCCAGTATCATCCCCATCGCCGTCACGTTCAACTGATGTTTTGCCCGAATTTTCTGATTTGAAACCCCTTAAAAGGGTTGCGTTTCATTCACTGACATTTTTAATTGATCCACCACAACAAATACCGTCTAGAAATCCCAGACGAGGTAATGTAGAGGTATTACCGAATGGTGCCTTAAAAATTAATCCATTGACTGAAGAAGATAAAGCAGCTATTGAAAATTCTCAAGTTGGTCAAGGTGGTGGTATTGTAGTAGGTGGTTCTGGTTCATTAGATACGGGGAAATCTGCAAATGGACAAAAGGCTAAAGACGAAGCTAACGAATACAAAGAAGCTTCTGGTAGTAACTTAGGCAAAGATGATGAAGACACAAAAGTTGATAAGCATGCAAAACTGTTAGGAATAGATAAACCCATGTTGAGCCATCATAATCATCGTAGCTTTCATAATTATGACGTCCCCATCAAAAAGATGGCGCTTGATGTCATGTATACTAGATGTTGTCATCTTCGAGAGATTTTACCAATCCCAGCAATTTTGAAGCAAATTCCAAACGGATCCTTAGCCCCTCTACCTATATTACAGCTTCGAAATCCAACTCCTACAATGGTGGAAATTCAAACATTTGCCGACTTTTTAAGGATTGCTCCGATCATATGCGTGTCGTTGGATGGAGTGAGCTTGTCGTATGAACAGTTCAAAATTTTGTTATCTGCAATGAGTGCCAAAACACAATTGGAAAAGTTAAGTTTGCGTAATACCCCTATTGATTCTGCCGGTTGGTCTTTATTATGTTGGTTTCTTTCCAGAAACACAGTCTTGAATAAGCTAGACATCACTCAATGTCCATCTCTCTCAGTCAACTTATCGAAGAAGAAAAAGAAAAGCCTGCATTCAAACGATAAAAAAGACGAAATAGTCAGAATGACTTGTAATAAGGAAAATAGATCAGATATGGATTGGGCTCTTTTTACTGCAACTATTGTAGCGAGAGGTGGTATTGAAGAATTGATTTTGACGGGATGCTGTATATCTGACCTAGACATTTTTGAGAAGTTCGTTAAAATGGCTGTTCTGATAAAAACAAATAGATTGGGGTTAGCTTACAATAATTTATCAGTTAAGCAGTTAAAGATAATTGTTGACGATTGGTTATTTAGGCCCTTTGTAAGAGGTTTAGATCTAGGTTATAATGATTTCCTGTCATTACAATATTTGAATGTATTCTTACAAAAAAGAAATGGCAAAGAGTTTGATGGCTATATTTGTCAATGCTCACTAGCATTCCTTAGTCTAAACGCTACAAATTTAAGATTTTCTGATGCTTTCAAGGAAGTATTTGAAACTGTGGTGATGAGATTTCCGTCTTTGAAATATTTAGACTTATCCAATAATCCGAAACTTTTCGGATCTTTTAATTCTTCACCATCGAAAGAGATATCAAATATTGAAGTTCCTGTCAAGTCATTGGAAAGTAGTGCGACAAGCGCTTCTTCTGAAGTATCTAGGTCCACGACAACTCAGAGCTCTATCACAGCTTATTTTACTTCTAAATTTCCACTTTTTCCAAAATTAATTAGGCTTCATATGGAGAACAATGATTTAAGCACACCAGCGTTGGTTACAGTAGCAGAAGTTTTACCTTTCTGTAAGAATTTGGCATATTTTTCTCTCATTGGTAATAAAGTGGATTTAACTGCAGCGTCGGCATTAACCCAAGGATTGAAAAATTCTAAAACGTTGATTACATTAGATTGTGATTATGGACATATACCCGATTTTATCAAGGACAAGATTGGTTTATATAGTATGAGAAACTTGGAAAGATTATTATATGCATCATCAAAGAAATCTCAGGATCCAGCTAATAGCCATGAAGATTCTAACTTGACCTCTTTAACAGGACAATTGAATAACATATTATCTATGAAAGCTGAGCTGAAGTTAGATTTAAAATCACCTGAAGTCCAGAAATTCGTTTATAAAGCGACAAGTATCCGTCAAGAATTAAAAGACGCCATGAATGAATTGCTTAAATTACAAGTTAAAAATGAACTTAATCTCGATGGTAAAGAGACATTTTTGAGATTCTTATATATTGATTCGTCGATTGAAAAAGGTTTGCAATTGATTGATAATTCATTAGTAGATCATCAATCCAACGAAATAAATTCTTCTTTCATGATTAGAAACGTTTCAGAGGATGAGAAGAATACTTATATGTTGAAGGACGACAGTGACTCATATAATAGCCATCTTGACTTACCCAAGTCTCAAAGTATCCCAATTAGCAAATCACCATTATCTCTTTCAAGATCATCATCCAAGTCTAATTTAACGCATTTGGACAGACAAGAGGGTTCAGTATTGAAGTTACTGAAACTCCATGATTTCCATAACTCAGAAGAGCCATCGGCATCAGCTGATTTTTTCCACAATTTTGATAATTTATCTGGTGATGAAATTCGAAAAATAATATTAAATGTTGATCTAGGTGATTTAGATAAGATCATTCAATATTTAGCCCGTTTGAAAGAAAAGGGAATTTCTTTGGGAAACGTATTTAATCTGAACGATTATACTGAGCCAGCCGATAATGAGAATGAAGCGCATCTAGTCGAAGAGATTATGGGCAAGTTGAAGAATTTCAAGGCATGCCAAGACTCTAATGAAGAATCCTCTAATTCAAATGAAGGAATACATATTGATTATAAGACACCAAGAGACACCAATTCTAGTTCTGATAATAAATCAGACAATAAGACTGATGGAGATGAGATTAGCCAGGCCTATGACCAAGTTTTAACGAATCTTGCAAAGTTGAATTGAGTATTAGTTTTCCGAAAACAAATAGCATAATGACATTTAATTCTTGATTTGGATTACAAATTATATTCATCGAACGATTCTATAATTTATATAAATTTATATTTAGTTTTGCTTTTTATATACAATTAAATTGCATTTTTATAAAATAAGTCTTTCAGTAACATTTAGGTGATATACTATCCAGTAGATTACTATCGCACTAAACCCTTATATTGTGTTTAATAATCATCGTCATCGGATTCGAGAGCTGGGTCTCTGCTCTTTCTTGAATCGCCGTACTCTTCATCACTATATTCACCATTGTCTTCTTCTGGTACCGTACCTGTAGCTTCCGCTTCTTCTGCTAAATCTTCACATGCATCAATCCAATCGGAATATACATCTACTGGTTGAGACAACGAATGGATAGCTGTTTGGAAACTTTGACCGCATATCTTGCAATGCAATTCACCTAATGAATTTTTTTTATCTAATGTACAAATGACTGACTTTTCATGATTGCAAAACAAGCACGAAAATGTTATATCTAACTTTTGCTTTATCTTCTTTTGCGGCTTAGCCGAAGATTTTCTTTTACCCATATTTAATTATCTATAAATTTAAAAAGATAGTATAATTTGGTTGTTAGATTTTTTTAGCTACTTCAAAATTCTGCCTCGAAATATTTACCGGTTTTTGTGTTACTTATATTTCTACATATGCCACGAAGATAAATTTGACTAAATATGCATTAATATAAGCGATGATCTATGGTCTCATAAGCAGTTGAGCTTTCTTCTTTAATCTCATTTCTAATCTGTACTTTTCGAATGCCATTTTTTCATTTTTCGACATCGGACCATGTTCTTCCCTTGTTTGTTCTGAGGGGGCTGGACTACCAGACTTACTGGATTCACCACTATTTCTATTACTATTAGTAAAGTTCATTACTACCTTCAACTTAGGATTCCATTTGTCATTGAGGTGGATACCATAGTTATACAATTTTAAGTCATTATCTCTCCTTTCGTATAGCTTCACTGCATCCCTGAACAAATGATAGACGAAATTTTCGGGTGATGATTTCGTGAACTCCTTTCCTATAGGGTAATGTAACAAGAGTGATAAGCATTCACTAAAGTCGCATGTAATTAATTCTGTTTTCACCCTAATTAATAGCCCTATAATTAGAAAAGTGATTAAATCTGGAATAGATGAGATCGACTTCTGAATCGAGACTAGCTTATCCCACAATAAGCTTGTAGTTTCTAAATTATTGCCCAATTCTCTTAATAATAGCAATCGAAGATACCTTATTGCCCATAATTGTGATTCCAATTTCAACTTACTGATTAAATTATAATGAATCAATTGGTCAATTTTCATCAAATTTACGTTAATACTCTCAATAGACTTCCATAAAACGCTTTCATTTTCGTAGAACCTTCCAATTATTCCCCCCTGCACCATAAATCTGTTGAATAGAGTAAACAAATCATGCGGTAAATAGTGCTTGTCATATAAACTTAATATTTTTAAATCATCTTTCGAAATAGTAGAATCATTTGGAACATTAATAGCCTCCCTGTACAAATTTATATACATTAAGCCCATAATTTCATGGAAGCCTTGTTTGTACCCAACCTGTGGATTACATTTCGACCAAACAAATAATAATTCAATCAATTGTCGTTTAGACTCGAACGAAGACGGCGTTGAAGAATTAAAATGTTTTTCTCCAGGAAATAATCTGTCTATATCCATTATTATAGTTTTCAACAAATCCAAATCATCTAGAGTATGGTCATGCAGTTGATGTGAGGAAGAAGCATTTAAAGGGTCGTCAGTCTTACTAATAGAAACAGTAGATAATGGTATTTTTTTCACGCTTCTTGATGTTTTAGTCGATATATTTCTCTTAAGGCTCTGTTTTCTCGTCAAAGCTAATTCTTTAGATTGGTAAAAAATATGATCTCTTTCCAAATCCCACCACGGTATATTCATATCTTTCCTTTTTATTAATGAATGATATATAACTCTAGATTCACTTAGTCTTGAATCCCACGTTTGAATATTCAAACTTTTTGTAATGTAGCAAGTCTTCCATATTAATGATCTGGTGAAATGTTTGGCATTTTGAGGAGTATACTCATTATCAGCAATAGCACTCATAAATTGATCAACATTTCCTTTGAATTGATCTATGGTCAATAAAACCTTGGATATTGTTTCATTCTCTTGAATCATAATCGGGTTCCAAAGCCTTATTATTACAACCTTGATTCCCAAAGATTGATATTCAAATTTACTTGTTGTCGTACTACAAAGTTTGAATGCTGATATCGAACGCGGGCTCAAACCATATTTTTCATACAGAATAGTGAACTTTTTATTATATCTACAGGACTATTAAACATTACGATTTGATCCACCAATAGAAACCGAAAACTGGAAACCATCCTTAATTCCAATCGAGCTGTCAGAATCATGTCTCTGAGCTAAATAATAGCCAATATCAAAATTAGCCCAATGATTGATATATTTAAGACCACATCCAATACTCGAAGCAACACTTTTATCCAGAAGAATGTTATTACTTACATTTCCAACTGATCCAGTGGTATATAATCTCAATGGATTTGCTTCGTAACCTATACCATCCTCTAATGAAGGGATATTTGCAGCAGCATTTTTGTGAGTTGAATAAATAAATGAAGGAACTTTAGCATATAAAGTAAGTCCCAACCTGAAAAATTGAGAGCCACCTGAAGTATTTATACTATTCTTGCTAAAACCTCTAAATGAATTAAATCCACCTAAGTAGAATCTATCGGAAACATGAACAGAGTTCGAAGATGGAGAATAAATACCACCAAAATCATTAAATAAATGAGCAGTGAAATTGTTATTGGCGAATGACGTAAATAAATTAGTGGAAATTGTAGATTTACCAAATCCTGTTTGATGCTCGATATTATCTTGTTCTTGATTAGAAGAAATTTCACTTGAAAGTGTTACATTATAACCACTAATTGGAAAATTCTTAGTAATATTATTCAAGAACGATACATTTGAATACACCAATTGATTCACAATTGAGGACTTTAAGTAGTCTCCTGAGAAGTATTTTAATTCGTCTGGTGCACCATCTCTGATATCGTGAATGGTCCTTTTAGCTAATGAAAGACCTGTCAAAAGGTACAAGTTCTTAATTCTATTAGTATATTGTAAACCAATCAATCCACCTGTTGTTTTTTCCGATGCTTGTTGCCATGTTTGATTATTCTGGTGGGTGTTAAATAAATCAAATAAAAATTTCAACGATGGATCGTTTAAATTAGCCAAAAATTTAGCATTTGCTATTAAATGTTGATTTGGTTTATATGGATTATAATTAACTCCAAAGTTGACAGATTCGGCATTTTCATTGAAATTGTTATTTAAATAGTTCAAATTGACATTCAAATTATCGCCATTATTTAAATTCAAAAAACCATCACCTGCATTCAAGTTGGAAGCCTCTACATCAAAAATCACCTTCGTAGGAATCAGCTGGTCCTTATTATATTTAAGGACACGCGGGATTGAGGCTGAATAATCCGAATGTAAAGAAACACCAATACTTTTAAAAACATCTGCTTTAACCAATCTGTCGCGTGAAACCGTAATATTTTCAACCAATTGGTTTAACGTGTAATCACTTGTTTCAACCAATGGGCCCAATAACTTCTTGAAAAAGTCACTTGAAAAAGTTTCTCCACCGATTACTTCAACCGACGATAGGTAGATTGGTTGTGAAGACGAACTTGTTAAAATATCTTGGGCTATTAAAGTAGTCAGCAAATCGGAATACTTCGTTTTTTCTGTTGTTTTACCCATTGTCTTGCTGAGTTTAAATGTGCTTTCTATTCCTCAATTGCTTTATTGGTCGTTGTTACCATGACTTTAAGGATATTGAAAATTCATGTAATGGTCGTGTGAATTCCAATTGACCTTTTTTTCATACTTCCCCAGAATGTACCTACACTATTGTTGAACTACTCTCTAATCTAATCACCATATGGCGTTCATTTAAATTGTTACTATACAGTTGTCTATTTTTGTATCAGATTCTAATACTCGACAGTTGCCCCATCGTAAGCTAAATCTAATAGTTTCCAATCACATTCAACACCTTCTTTCTTGAATATAGATATAACCTTATTAGCTATTTCGTCAAAGCCTTCCGTAGCCAAACATAAAATGGTAGGACCAGCACCTGATAAGCAAATACCGCATAATCCTTTATCAGTATCTGGTGTAACGCTTTTTAAAACTTCGCCTAGCCCGGGGATTAATTTATATCTGTATGGCTGATGGATCTTGTCTTTCATAGCTTTGTAGATAAGCTTATGGTCTGGATTCTCGTGAGTCAATACTGTGGTCAACACCGCTAATCTTTGCAAGTTAAACACAATATCCTGTTTGTTATACAATTCAGGTAATACAGCTCTTGATTCGTCTGTTGGTACTTCAAAATCTGGTATTATGGCCACACATCTAATTTTCTTGCTCCAGTTATATTGCAAATATTCCCCAATATTTTTAGGTGGTTCCTCTGTAATATACTTCTCCTTTGGAGTTTTACCAGGTTTCGGCAAAATAAATTCTAATGGAACATTCTTGGCTTCGGATTCCTCCGGTGATAACTCATTCATGTAAGAGCCAACAAATCCGCCTAACATAGAAGCAGCTATATTATCTGGATGTCTTTCAATCAACAAACAGTAATCCAACATTCTCAATTTCGACAATTTCAACTCTCCTAATTCATTTCCTAACATTATACCTCCGACAAGAGCAGAACCTGAGGAGCCCAACCCTCTTCCTAATGGAATTGGATTATTAACATGGATATGGGTACCTTGTGGGAACGTATGAATATCATTACATCTTAAAACATACAATGCAGTTTGTGTTATCAAGTTACTATCGGAACTTAAAGGAACCTTATCAGCACCATCACCTTCATAGGTAATTTTACAATTATATGGGTCTGAAGAAGTATCCTTTGAAGGATCGACTGTGACTTTAATCGTCAAGTATAAGTTCAAACCGATACCTAAAACATCAAAACCAGGGCCAATATTTGCTGAGGAAGCAGGAACCTTCAACTCAAAAGTTTTAACTGTCATACTGATGTAGTTTTATCGAAGTTCATGCTTTTTCTTCAAATTTTTCAAAGCTCAAGAATATGATTCATTTTCGCGATATGATATTTGGCCGGAAACGGCAGTCATATAACCAATACAAATCTTACAGAATATTAATTATAAAAATTTTACTTATTATATTAGAAAATTAAAACGTATGTGAGTGTAAGAAGCAATTAAATAACACAATTTTCTCTTTTTTCCCAACATATATCGGCGGGTTCCATAGGTAAAGTGACCATTGATGCATAATCAATTTCAGGCATTTTACCGTCTTTCAAAGACCATCTCAAATTATAAACGTATGTAGACAATATAGTACCTAATTGAACATACGCAAATTGTTCACCAATACAACGATGTCTACCACCGCCAAATGGTAAATAGGGAGAAGCCACACCTTTTGTAATAGCACCGAAACCATAGTCAACGGTGTCTTCATCCCCAGTTGCCTTAGCCGTTTCGTCCCACCTGTGAGGCTTAAATTTTGCAGCTTCCGGAAACCATTTTTCATTCGTCATGGCGTAACCAGGACTGACAAGGACGTGGTGGCCCTTAGGAACAACGTATTGGGTATTTGGAACTAATAATGGATTCATGACCTTTCTGAAAATAGAGTGCAAAGGCATATGCATTCTCAAAGTTTCTTTGATAATATTGTTAAGTAAAGGCATGCGTTGTAAATCATCATAATCTAAATCATCAAATGATCCGTTCTTTTGTTTCAATACCGATAAAATTTCCTCATATACTTCATCTTGTAAACTTGGATTCTCAGCCAAATGTAATAAGTACCAAGCTGAAGTAGAAGCTGAAGTATGTTGTCCACCCATTAAAACACCAATCAATAAATTGGCAATCTCCTGGTCAGTCATCCTCACACCATCTTTATAAGTTGAATGTGTCATCAAAGAATCAATCAAATCACGAGATGGATCAATATCTCCAGTATCTCTTCTTTTACTAATTAACGACATGTAAGTGGAAGAGATCTTTTGCTGAGCAGCATCTCTCTTCCTATATTGAGGCAAAGGCAAGTTTGGAAATACAAAGTTAATTGGAGTGAATCCCTTATCTAAATCAGCATATAATTGGGCAAATGATGCATCGAATTTCTTTCTCATTTCATCACCCATCAAAGATCTCGACGCTGTAAAAATAGTAATTTCTGGTTGAGACTCCATAACGTTAACAACCCCACTAGATTTTGCTCTCATATCAAAGTTTTCAGAATCGGTGAAATAACTCAATACTTCCTCCTTGATTTTTGGAACGTACGTTCTGAAAGAATCTTTGGTCAAGGCGTATTTGGCAAACTTTTTTTGTTCCATTAATCTAGAATTTGGACAATCATAAATAACACCCTTTCCAAACACAGGAGTAGTCAAATGTGTGTATGCTTGCTCAGCACTGACATCTTGCAACTTCGAATTCAATACAAACTCGTGTCCTTTAGGCCCCAAGTAAACCGTCATCACCTTACCTAACAATACAAACGCAAAAACATCTCCGTGTTTAGTACGACAATTTTCAAAAAACTCGTATGGTTGCATACCATAGACTACTGCAGACCCAACCCAAGGCATCCAGTGAAATACTAATGGAACGCTGTCATTTCTAAGCGAGTAAAAGAATTGCCATAACAAATTATAAATGAATGGGAATAATATGATGATACTGGCTTGCTGCACAATAGTAAGCGATGTAAAGTAGTTGTACAACGCTATAGAGTAATCTGCCAAAGCCATGGTTAAAATTTCTATCTATTAAGAATCTATTCAGTAAATTTAATAAAGACCTACTACTTGAAATTTATATCAAAAATTCAATGTCGTTTAAATTTTTTCTGTACGACGCGATATTTGCACATAGTAAATTTATCGTATGAGAAGATTGAGCTTAATCAGCAAATACCACTGTCCGTCCAGTATATGCAATGTGTCACTATGTAAAAATTTATATATGCATTCATTTATATATGATATAGAATTAAACCATAAATATTAATCATTAGTATGTTAAAGTGTTGTTAATATCGCAATGATTCATCAACGGGTATGCCTAACAATCTTGCTTTTAAAAGTAATTGTTCATTTTCGTTGAGCATGCTATTATTTTTCATTTCCAAAAACTTGATATATTCTATAGACTTCGTGAGAATAGTCCCCTTGTTCAATTTTTTGGCTGGCTCTAAGCCCTCTAGATCCTCATCTTCAGAACCGCTGTAATCTTCTATAGGAGGATCCTCCTCGTAGTCTTGCTTGAAATCTGGAGAAGCCAATCCTTTTAGTTTTCTCTTCGCAACCCTGAGACTTGGAACTGTATTCTGTAAAACAGTGAACTTGTCATTAATCTTGTTACGATATCGCTGTTCTATAACATTGTGAGCTGATTTTGTCCTTGGTCTGGTTTGGGCTGCAAGAGATGCATCGAACTTTATATTTTCTATGTCACTATTAGGTGGAACGAATTGCGAACAAGAATATGATTTGACGGCTCCAGGTCTGTTGATTTGTTGTTTGCTTGAACTCACTTGGAATTGATCATGTGGGCTTGAATATTCCAATCCTGCTTGCAGTATTGGTTGCGACTCTTGTAGTTGCAGCCCACTCAATCTCTGGGTATAAGCATCGTTCATTAGACCAGAGGCGCCTGTTTCTGCAATAAATTCTGTATTAATATTGTTAAATCTATCTTGTGTATTTTCTGTGGACATCGCTAAACCAAAATCAAAGTCTACTGGAAATTCATCTGAAGATTGTTGTTCGCTCTTTAAATTGGGCTTCTTCTCATATAATGAAGTCAAAAACGCATTATAATCATTTAACTTGAACGACATTACTTTGATCCTCTATTTTTTCGAAACTTCTGTGTCTTTACCTGTAAATTGTAGGTAGGAGTTAATAATTCATCTTGAAATATATAACCAAAATCAGTATGCTTATTATCGTATGATTTTTTCTATTTTGCAATCGCATGGTCGGAAAAGCAAGGATGAAAACGGAATTATACCGAACCCTCGTTTAAATCCCCGTAATTAGAGTTAAGTTGATTTCCGGTCACATCTCTAAAATTTTCAGAGATTCAAGATTGATAGTATAACTTGAAGATATCGAAACATTCCCAAATGTCAGATTTACATGAGTTATGTGGTTTCCAGACGAGACCTATTGGACCCAAGTACATTGAGGATTTAAAGTTTTACTTGAAAAATGGTATTCCTGCAACCTATACGATAGAAGAAGCATACAATTATACAAACAACATAGAAGAGGAGCCAACTACCACTACTACTCCATTGCATATTATATGTTCTCATATGCCCAATGATGCTTCTAATGAAGAAATAGATATTATTAACCAAATGGTTGAAATCTTGCTCGAGTATGGTGCCGGGTGGTGTCTTACAGATATCAATGATGACACGCCAGGTTGTATATTGATCAGAAGAAAGTTGAATAACACTCCAATTTACAACCAAATAGTTGCTGCTGGTGTTAGAGCAGAATTACTATTGAGAAAAGTTAGTGAATACGACATGGAAATCATTGAGGACACTGATGACTTAAATCATGAACAATTTGAAGGCACACAAGGTGAAGAAACCACAGAGGAAGAGCGTAAAGAGGAACCTCCTAGCATTTCATATGTAACTGATGAAAAAAAAGTTGAACAATCCAAAGAGGATTTCAAGGAAGATCCTTCCAGTAACCAAGAAACTTACTTGAAGACAAAATTGGAATATAAGGATGGTGCGTTAGTAACTAAAGACAGAAAAGATGGGGTCATGATGTCTTGGGAAACAGATTTAATGAGAATGGGTTGTGATTCTCTTTTAAAGGGTGCAAGTATCGATGGCGAAATAGATAATGAAGTTAATCTTTTGAATATTGGATTTGGTATGGGAATTATAGATACTATGATTAATAATAAGAACCCAACTAAGCAATACATATGCGAAGCACATCCAGATGTCTTGGCTAAGTTGCGTCACGATGGTTGGTATGAAAAGCCAAATGTTGTTATATTAGAGGGAAGATGGCAAGAACAGTTGAACAAACTTTTATCCGAGGGCAATGTTTTCTTCAACGGTATTTATTACGACACATATTCTGAACATTATGAAGATATGTTAGAATTATTTGATATCGTTGTTGGTATATTAAAGCCCCATGGTGTATTCTCCTTCTTCAATGGGTTGGGAGCGGACAGACAAGTAGTTTATGAAGTATACAAGCAATTGGTAGAAATGGACCTAGCAAATTACGGTTTGGTTTGTAAATTCGAACAAGTTCAAGTTCCTGAATCAACATTACAGTTAGAAATTCAAAATTCGACAGATAACAAATCAGTTTGGGATGACATAAAAAGAGCTTACTGGACTTGCCCAACTTACTACCATCCTGAAGCTAGATTTATGGACGTTTAGGTGAATTTATAGATTTTAATTTTTGGCTATCTCTTTCAAAGATATTAGAATATGTAAGGTTTTGAAAAGGCTATATTGTAGGAGCGTATGAAGTGAAATTAAGTGCAAATTTTTTTTTGCAGCCTTTTACAAAACTGTTGGAAATCAGGAAAAAAGCCAATCCTAGTTAATTTGACAACCCATGTTTTCCTATCGTAATCATAATCAAATTGAGATATTTTCATATCTTATTTCAATTGTAGGTCTAATGTAACATTTCTTCTATATAAAATGAGATTTTCCAAAAATCAGTAAATTATACTAAATTATATTAAAACTAAATATATATTTAAAAATCCTAAAAAAATCGTTTTACTAAATAATACTATGAATAATTGCATCAGTTTACATTTACTACATTCTTATTGAAAGTAGTTTACATCATCATTCCTTTATAGTAATTGAACATGATTTATTATAGTCTAGATTTCGGCTACATTATAATCAATTAAATCATGATAATCTCAATTACTAGCAGTTCAGTTACTTACAGTGGCATTAATTCAATCAATGTCACGTAATTAACTTAGGACAAAGTCCAATCAGTTCAGTTGAAGTAAATCATTATTACTTTATTAGACAAGATCACACCAGAAAAACGCACTGTTCACTTACTGTGTGTAGAATGGTTGTATATATATAACCCATTCTCCACTGGTAATATCAGTGACTACACCGTATTGGCATCCTCCACATGAGCATTCGGATATGATCTTATGCTACAGGACACACCATCTTTCACCCTCACGCCTATTGCATCAATGTTTGCTACGGAGAGACATAATCCGAATTCTTCGATATCCTCAGTCCTACTGCTGCCACCTTGAGCAACACTATCTGTACCGAATACTTCTCTTTTAGTTAGCCTCACATTACTAGATTCCACCATCTTTAAATAATATTCCTTTTGAATCTGTCTCCTTATCATAATCTATGTACCTTACCTTCACCCAATCAATCTTAATCTCGGACTCCTCAATATGTGTCTCCTGTTCAGCTTTATTTAATTGCTTGCCCACTGTTTTATTTTTGTCCACACTTTTTGCATCTACGGTACCTCAAGAAAAGTGGTCCAAAAGGATCACCTTAATCACACTGTTCTGATGCCATGACAAAGACTGTCGTAATTAAAGGGAAAATAATTTATATAGTCTCATAAATAAACTACATCATATAGTTAAGGTGAATTAAAGTAGTCGTTATCTGTAGTAAGATTATGAACATACTTTATCAGGAGTCACGTGACATTTTCAAAATTTTCCAGTAGTGCTTGAATAGCAGTAAGGTAGGATATTCTTGAATAGTTCTTAAGACGTCTAATATCATATAATTAACAATGCTAAGCAAGAGGGTATGCATCCCAAGAATAACGCAAGCCCTAAAAAGGAATTATGCTTCGTCATCAGTAGCTACATTTGCTAATCCAAACATTGAAATGACTACTTTACAAAATGGATTAAGAATAGTAACTGACAGTACACCGGGCCATTTCAGTGCCTTAGGTGCCTACGTTGATGCTGGATCAAGATTCGAAAATCCAGAAAAGCCGGGGCTTTCTCATATTTTTGATAGATTAGCATGGAAGTCTACGGATCAATATACCGGGATTGAAATGATGGAGAACTTATCGAAGTTAGGTGGTAATTATATGTGTTCAGCACAAAGAGAATCCATGATATATCAAGCTTCCGTTTTTAACAAGGATGTGGATAAGATGTTTGATTGTATTGCTCAAACCATTCGAGCACCAAGAATTACGGACCAGGAACTTGTAGAAACCTTGCAAACCGCAGATTATGAGGTTAGTGAAATTGCTTTAAAACATGATATGTTTTTACCTGAAGTGTTACATTGTGCAGCATATTCGAATAATACTTTAGGATTGCCGTTATTCTGTCCACCAGAGAGAATCCCAATGATATCGAAGGATGAAGTATTGAACTATCATAAAACCTTTTATCAGCCACAAAATATTGTCGTTGCGATGGTTGGTGTGCGTCATGATCATGCAGTTAGGTTAGCTCAATCTCAATTCGGAGATTGGAAATCATCATCCTTACAAAGACCAGATTTGGGTACCGTGAACTATACGGGAGGAGAGATATCATTGCCCTACCAACCTCCGCTTGCAGGTAATTTACCAGAACTATACCACATGCAAATCGGTTTTGAAACTACTGGCTTATTAAATGATGATTTATATGCGTTAGCTACGTTACAGAAGTTATTAGGTGGTGGTTCCTCATTTTCGGCAGGTGGACCCGGTAAAGGAATGTTTTCAAGATTATATACCAGAGTTTTAAATCAGTATGCATTTGTCGAGAATTGTATGAGTTTCAATCATGCATATATCAACTCTGGTTTGTTCGGTATTACAATATCGTGTTCACCTAATGCAGCTCATGTTATGTCACAGATAATTTGTTTCGAACTTTCTAAGCTTTTAGAGAAGGATTCATCTGAAGGAGGGCTCACTGATCGAGAAGTCAAGAGAGCTAAAAACCAATTAATCAGTTCATTATTGATGAATGTTGAAAGTAAGCTTGCTGCCTTAGAAGATTTAGGTAGACAGATCCAGTGCCAAGGCAAATTGACTACAATTGATGAAATGATTGATAAAATTGAGAAAATAACTGTTGAGGACTTGAGAAAAGTCGCAGAAAAAGTTTTGACAGGTAATGTTGTTACCAAAGGTTTAAGCTCCGGGAAGCCATCGGTAGTAATGCAAGGTGATAGAGCAGCATTCGGTGATGTTGAATTTGTTCTTCGTCATTTTGGTTTAGGAAAGTTTGATGGACCTCCATTGACAGAACCCAGAGATTTCTCGAGTGGTCTTGGCAGTAAGATAAGTAAATGGTTTTAAACCATCTTTCATTAGCACACTTAGTTATTTATAGAATTTAATTTATTTGTATATATGTGATGAAAATAACTAAGTATTGGTATGTATTACATGGATTTGAAGAAAGTTTCAAAAATATATATTTCTAGGAAGTAGCAAGTTAATTTTTTATTCTCTTTTAGGCATTGATTCCAGCCCTTTCCTTTAGACTGAGAACTTCTCTTTCTAACATTAACATGTTCTCCTTCATTTCCAAGTTTTCTCTCTCGCTAGCCTTTAGTAATAAATCTTTTTCCATGCCTTCATTATGTAATATGTCAATCGTACTTTTATAGTGGCTAACTTTGTTTTGGTAATCAAAGTTTTCATCATTATATTTCTTGGTTAATTGAGATTCATTTTCAACTCTAATTTCAAGCTTCTTGAGTTCTCTTTCCAAATTCTTTATAGTTTTGGAGGCATTATAATTGTCATTATGGGATATATCCAAGTCTCTCGACAAGTCATTTACCTTTTCTTCCCAGTATTTCAACTGTTCATTACCGTACAATTTTTCCTCGAGAATATTTACTTTGCTATTAAGCTCTTTATTAACTTTTTTCAATGAATCGTTCTCTTCAGTTGTAACCAAAACTTCTTTTTTAACCCTTTGATAGTCCTGAATATCGCCCTTGCCAAGAATTTTAGATTGGTTTAGTTCAGACCTCATTGTGGTAGATGCTTCTCTTTGATTCTCCAAATGGTCTCGAAGAATATTCATATCCGATTCGTATTGCTGTATTTGGGCCGCATTGTCATCTAATTTTTGATTCAACTGGATGATTTGTTCCTCGAGTGTCTCTTTTGTTTCAAGTAATTCATCTCTTTGATTCGTAGTTTCCGTAACAAGCTCTTTTAACGAAGTAACTTGCTTGGATAAATTATTGATTTTTCTTTCATGGATCACTTTTTCATTGTCTAAAACTCTCAATTTCTTTGAAAGATCGGATGACAAATATTCAAATTCACTTAATTTAGCCAATTTTATACCTAGCTCTTTATCAAGAGAATCTTTCTCAGCAAGCAAGTCTTCATAATCAAGTTGAAGCTTTTTGTTTTCTTTAACCAAATTTGTTTCAGTCTCCATCTTAAAATTTAAGTCTTTGTGGAGATTTCTAATTTCCTCCTTATATTTCTCATTCAATTCCTTATTTCCATAGTTTTTGTTATGATAGTTTAATTTATCATTTACTACGCTCATCCGATTTTGAAGTTTTTGCAATTCAAAATTCTTATCATTAATTCTTTCTTCTAACAGAGAATTCTCATTTCTAATTTCCTTAATCATAATTTGGCTAGCCCTGGATTCTTCTCGTGCTAACTTTAATTGATTTTTAATTTCAATCAATTCACGAGATGCAGCTTGCTCATGTCTCTTAGAAATTTGAACTGCAGATTCAGCAAGCTCGAGTTTTCTGTAATATTCATCAGACCTCTTCTTATATAATTCGAGACTCCGATTTATATCAGAGTTTTGAGAGTATAGACTATCACTTCTAACTTTCAATTGTGCAAGCTCTTCCTCATAATTTGAGACTGAAGATCTAAATGACAGACGTTTAGCATCATATAACTCATCCTCTGATTCTCTCAATAATGATTTCAACCTCAAAATTTCACTTTTAGCAACAGTTAATTCTTCTCTGGTGGATTTTAAAGTTCTGGTGATGTCCTGGTATATCTTGACGAAGTCCTGGTTTGAACTAGATAAAGTCATGCTACTCCTGCTGAGATTTTCACTTTTAGAGAGTGGCGATGGAATGGACACAGCTTCATCGGTAGTTAAAATGTCTTGAAATTGTTTTTCAAGTTCTGTAACTCTAACTTGAGAATCTCTATATTTCTTCTCATAATCAGTCCAGCTATTTATTCCTCTAGTGGATTGCAATTTATTCAATTTCTTTTGAAGTTCAATTGCATAGTTTTCTGCCCTTTGTGAATTAGTTTCCTCTTGTTCTAGTTTCAATTTCAAGCCTTCAATTTCTTCATTTAGGTTATCCACACCAGATCTTAATGAAATGCCCTCGCCTATAGCCAAGGACCTTCTATTGAGAGTCCCTTCATTTCTAGACTCATCAAGGGACTTCCTGGTCTTTAAAAGATTCAACTCTTCGCTCAATTTTTTATTTTCAAATTTTTCTTTCCGTAACATTGCGCTGTGTTCATTCAATTTAAGCTTCATATTAGCATAATCGCCTTTAAATGATGGTTCAGGTGGGAAATTTTCCTTTTCTTTCTCATTTTCCTTGGTAACGTCTTCCAACTCTGTAAGCTTATGTTTTAACGTTGCAATCTGATTCGCATATTCTGTATTCGCTTTTTTGGATGTCTCGTAGTCTGTTTTCAAAGATTCAAGAGATTTTGTGATTGAAGCATTTTCACTTGAAGCTGTTGCCAACTGCTGTTTAAGTAAAGCTAAATCTTGTAAGCCAATGAGTTCCTTTGCATGCTTTTGTTTGAGGTTTCTTTCAGTATCATTTAAGTTCTTTACTTCTTGCTTTAATTGATGGGATTCTTTCTCTAGCTTCTTATACTTATCTTCGTTTAGTTTCAAGTCTCTAGTGGCCTGCGCTAATTCACTTTTAATTTTATCCGAGTACATTTTTTCTTCTGATAACAGATTCTTTAATTCAATAATTTGTTTCTCACTTGCTTCAACATTAGATCTTAAAGATTTGATTTCTTCTTCTTTTTCTGTACCTGAATTTTTATCGATAGCTATAGAATCCTTTAATGATGTAAGTTCCTTAGTAAGATTTTCATGTTTTGGAACAAGCTCGCCGTGCTTAAGTTCCATGCTTTCTAACTCAGATTTCAATTGCTGATTTAATTCACGTAACGTTTTCGTTTCTGAATCAGACAATTCCCTAATAGAACTGTGTTCCTTTTCGAGATTGGCAATTAGATTTGTCTGGTTCTGTTTTTCTTCTTCATGCAACCTAATTATTGATTCTAATTCAGCAATCTTAGATGAAGTATTCGAGTGCTTATCATTTAGTTCATTAACGTGTGACTCATTTTGTTTTATTTTGTTATATGACTCTGTAAGCTTCTTTTCTAAAATTGACTTATCATCAGACAACTTTGAATTTTCCTGCTTGGCCTTTCCAATTTTATCTTTCAAATCAGATATATTCTTAATGCCCTCCTTCTCAAAAGTTTTGAGTTTTTCTACCAAGGAATCTCTTTCTTTAACCATACTAGTTGTAGCAATAATCTCATTTTCTAATTTATTCATCTGATTACGAAGCTTTTCATTTTCATTCTCAAGTTTTTCTTTAGATTTTATGGTATCTTCTAACTTAGTATTGGCCTTTTTCAAATTTTCATTCATTTCCTTAGAGTCAAGTACCTTAACAGAATCTTCCAAGAGAGGCTTAATGTGGATAAACAAATCCATCCATGGACTTGACGTTAAAGATTCATTCATGGTTCTGAAGGTTCTGGCTATAAGCTGAGAAGATTGGATTTCCGAAATTTTAGACTTCATACTAGCTCTTGTAGAATTACCTCTTATCAAACTTTGCAAATCTGTAAAGGTGCTCTTTAAACTCAAATCTCTCAATTCTTCAAGTTTGCCCAAAATACCATTCTTGAAGAAAATTTTTGTAATACCCACTTTATAACTATCAACATCTAAGTGAATGTGCTTCAAGATTAATTCACTGTTAGTTTTTGTATTTTTGGTAAATACTTCTTTCTTATTAAGTATCGAGTATCTCAGACAAAAATCATCAAAAGTCATTCTATTAGGATAACCAGCTCTAGTGATCCTAATTCCTTCTAATACACCGTTACAACGCAACTGATGCAAAACTAAATTCTTATCCAATTTGTTCGGTTTTTTTTCGAGATTTGGTAAAATACATCTTACAAAATGAGGTTCCGTACGACTTAATTGATCCATCAAGCTTGACAACTGCTCTTTGTGCTTTTGTGACGTAGTCTTTAACCTTCGCTTATTATTATTATTATTATTTTGTACTAAGTGTTCGTCATTTATAAACAAATCCTTGACGAATTGATTTTCTGAAAAAGGCAATAATTTTAGAACGTTTTCATTGACAGGATCGTTGTTTTTCTGTAACCAATTATCAACGTTATATTCAACCTTACCAGCATAATGATGAATAACAAAACCATTCTTGAGCTTGTTTTGTTGAAATTTACTGCTTTGACCCTTTCCCCAATTAGCGGCAAGCTTTTCAATGAAACTTCTGTCATTTGCTTTTGGGACCATACATTCTTCATTCAAAATTTCAAGTACACCCATAGGATTCTTAGTTTCAATCAAGTCAATTGTTGGTTGTAAATCTTGACCAAAATCAATAAATTCCCATTGAATATCCTCCCTTAAGTATTCACTTTGTTCTAAAATAAACGAATGGTGGTTAAAATATTGCTGCAATTTTTCATTAGTATAATTGATACATAATTGTTCGAATGAATTTTGTTTGAAAATTTCAAAACCTGCAATGTCTAATACCCCAATAAAGTTTAAGACCCCTTGATATGCTTCGTTCTTCAAATTATCATTAATCCTTTCAATAATATACTGAAAAACACGTTCATATAAGTGCTTCGCTAATGCGTCAACAGCATATTTAACTTCAGGAGCTTTCTTAGATTTCTGAACAAATTCTCTACCTGCTTTAACTTTGGGCCTTAACATATTATCCAAAAAGTCCTGTCTAGATATTCCTAAAAGTTTTATAATAATATCGATTGGAGCATCAGACTTAAAGCTAGCCTGCTCTGCCTTCCAAGAATTGAATTCCAAGTTACCGAGATGCAATATGATGGCTAGTATAGATAAAATATTTGACACCTCTGCTTCCGTGAACCCCATGGTGGTAAATGCATCCACCAAGAAATTGAAATCTTTGGCGTCATCTGTATTCGGAATATCAATTTTAGAGGCACTTAAATAATTATAATTTTTAACGTCATTGGTTAAACCAAAACTCTTCAATTTTGAATTCTCAAACCCCTTGATAAATTGGTAAAAGATATGGTAATTTCTTTCTTCTTCGGATTGGCTAACGACTCTTGATTTTTCTAACAAATAGTAATCGATATTTGCGCCATTTATTATGCCTTCAGAAGAAAAGTAGATTTTGATAAATTTTCCAAATCTTGATGAGTTGTTATTTTTGATAGTTTTTGCATTACCAAAACTTTCTAAAATCGGATTGGCTTGAAGGATCTTTGTATCAATAGTATGATTATCGTGCTTGGTAGTATTGTCTATACTTGTGATTGACGACAAATACTGAATAATCTTTTTGGTATTTTCGGTTTTACCTGCACCACTCTCTCCAGTAACTAGAATCGACTGGTCTTTATGATTACTCAAGAGATTCCTATAAGTACCTTCAGCGGTAGCAAAAATATGAGGAGGAGGCCTTTCATATTCATGACTATGAAACTTTTTCAAAACCTTCTTTTCATAAATAGGTAAAGGTTTGTATGGATTTATCGCAACTAAGAATAAACCGGAGTACGTGTAAATCAAATCATCATTGTATCTCAAATATAAATTATAAACGACAGATGGCTCGTTCAAATGTGTCAACTCGGCCATATCATCGCATTTATTAAACTTAGTGGGATTACAGTTTTCAAGCGCATCACTTTTGACTACTTTATTTGTTTCATGATTTCCATCGATTATAGTCACTTTACAATTACCGTCTTGTAAATAGTCGGTTATATATCCCTTAGAAAAAAAATTATTATCATCCGGAACCCAAACCCAATTCTTCGAGTTGAACCCGTCGTCCTCTGTAGACATACTCGCTATACCTGTATAATTGTTTTTTCTTCGTTGTAGACGATTAGTTGTTGATGTTTTGGTTCTAAATGTAAACTGTACGTCTTAATTTTATCAACAAACCTATATACAGGAACAAAATAATTTTTCTTCAATATTTTTTGCAGACTCTACTTGGCTTGATTCTCTTGGATGAAGACGAAACAAATCCGTAAAGCTTTTCTCCATCCTTAAGAAGAATTTTTTAAAAAAATGGATAAGACTTCTATAGCCTACCTTATATATTCGAAGTATACTCAGGATGATATATTAATGACGAAATTTGATAGAAGCAAGCAATAGATCGGTTAATGTGACCAATAATTCTATCCTAGTGAATTAAAGAGACATATGTAGTTCAATACCCGATTACTATGCCTTGGTGCGTGGTTAATAGAATAATTATAGTTGGGATTCTGTAATGACCAAAACTATTTGAATTTTTGGTCATTTCTTCTTCTATTTTTGTAGTATTCAAGGTTATGAAAGGACAGACAAATGAAAAGCTATTTTGGAACGTCTTATTAATCAAATTATATCTCATCAAGATGAATTGTTCCTGATATGCTTGTATTCGGTGTTGGATCTGGTATCATTATCACGTGATTAAATTTTTATATCACCAGATTGCAACATAAATTAAGAAGCCATTCCGTTATCCTGGAGTTTGGAACGATAGTTCCAGCGTGAGAGATAGACACTAATGTTGGTTAAAGAATTATTGAGTCTATGCACTTCGGATATCTTATTTGTCGTTATCAGAAGCCCAATACTAGAGCACTGAATTCTGAAGGGGAGATTTTCAAAGGTCTGGTAATTATTATGTTGATGCTTTCGCTATAAATATCAATATGTTACGGTGAGATGAACTTCGATGCTACCCTACAACAGAGAAATGTTGTTGGAATTATACTCTAGTGTTGTAATGCTACATTATACAGATTTAAATTCTTGATGACCTTTCATACAAGTTACATGATCTAATCGTGCTGAAACGACAGATCCTTTAGTTTGAGTTTTCGTACCTAATTTTTAAAATTGAATTAAAAATACAATGTTGTGGGATGTTGGCCAGATTCATTGAATTCTTGGAAGGTAACATTTTTTAGATAAAAATCGAGACAAGATTACACGAAGGTTTCAAAGTGAATCATTTTGTGAATTAGAAACAGTAAATGATCCGAACTACACTACGAAATTGAAGAGAGTCAGGTCGATATCATGTTGGAGACCATAATTTTTATGGATAAATGGGGCTATAAGGTTCTCCGTTGCACGGTGAGAAACTAGGACCCTTAAAATTTATATTTTCAAAGAGTGAGCTCCATTGTCGCGTATTTATTGAGGCGACCCAAACCTTATAGTTTTAAATTATCTACTTGACTACGACTCCAATAGTATAATGGCTGAAGTCATCATTCGGGCCAAAATAGTTCGTGTGCTATCACATATAGGTTATGTTTTCTAGATAAGTTTCATTAAAATGCCATGATTTGAATCAGAAGAAGAATCTATAATATCTAGATACTCCATTTATTAATACCATGTCATTATCGCCTGAAAAAGTCTTCACATTTTGCTTTAAACTCCCTAAGAGAATAGATATACCCGTTGAAGCAAATCAGCCTACAACAAAGAAAAATTTCAGGATAAAAGAATTGACGACAACTAATTCATACCCTTCTATATCTATAAATGTTAAGCAGTATGTCCTGTTCACCAGTGAGAAGTATATTGAAGCTTCAAGGAAACCTACTGCAAAAGATAAGAAGACAGCTATTACAAGAGGAAGCTTTCGGACAAGGAACAAATTCATTATCGCAAGAAACCTTCTATGCCGATTAGTAAAGCATGAGAAGGCCTTGAGTAGTACAGAAATTTCAAAAGTTGTTTCTCTAGTAAGTATTTACATAAAGATATCGATGCTCACACCATTTTAGATATAAATTCAACATTTTGGCTCACTACTAACAACGCAGATCTGGAAGGAGAGCAACAAGTCGTTACATGACTACTTTGAGTACCTTTCCCTTTTGGAGACTTATTGGTATGATAAATTAATGCTGAGTTATGGTAACTCAACGCTACAAGCAACCGCAACTGCAGCAGTCAGCATAAGACTAAGCTCGATACCCTACGAAAATTTGTGCGCTAGTTGCTATAATAAGCATAAGCAAAAGAAAATTTTGAATTACGACTACTCCAAGTCAGCAAAGTTTCGGGTGCATAAGGATTTTAAGGAAAAGAAAAAGACCTTCTTGACGATTAAAGACCACTCGAAAAAGCTTGAAAAACTCCTGGATGCCTTCAGGATTAACCAATGTACCATTACTACAAATTTTGGAATTGTCACTGAAGATATGTTTTTCAATTCGCTTTAATATTGAAGCAGTTTGAAGAACTTAGTAGTGTATTTCTTTAAATAGATAAACCAGCATATTATCTCTCCAATATAATATTGTCTGTTATCGCGAAAGTTGTAAATTGCAACCATTGTAACTTACCATAGAAACAAGACACTAGGTTACAGACTTCCTCCTAATGTGAAACTAATGCCTAGATTCCGTGATACGTATAACAACCATCGTAATACTATTTGCAACTGAATATAAAGCGATAATTTCAATTTGTATTGATCTCTATTTTTGACTACACATAAATACATTATGGAGAGATATACAACGGCGCATGATACTGTGGTTGAGGTCCCAGAGAATGAGAACATCAAGGCATATACAACTAGGGTGGAGTCTGGACATGTCTCGGAGGTACGTAATATTGAGATCAAGACGAATTGACATGAGTCTAACAATATAAGCCTAGCAGCAGTAATGGTAGCAACTTGACTCTAAATGTTAAAAATGAATACGAAAATATATCCAGTGATGGCAAGGTTATAGATAGATATCAATTATTAAAAGAAAAGGGCTATTGTCATGGATTTCTCTTGGAGGAAGCATCGATTTCGGTGACCTGTGAGACGGCTGACTCTCATTCACAACAACAACGAAGGGTTTCTACGTTTGGCCGTGAAGTCCATGAAAATAGGGATATGTTTCCAAATAAAAAGCGAAGCTACAAAGGTAATTCAGAAGCATCAAACAGGATCCTAGAAAATGTTTTTAAGACCAATTCATACCCTACGAGCAAAGAACGACATATTATTGCAAAAAAATGCGGATTGAGTCCAACTCAAGTTGGTGCATGGGTACGTATGTAAAGAAACCCTCTCAACAGATAGGTTACTAACACTTTAGTTTACAAATAGAAGAAACGCCTCAGAATAAGTTCTGTGAGCTGTTAACCTTAAGTTACTATATAAAGTGTCGAAAAATATAAGTATTGTCGCTGTTTAATATATCCTTATATGTCTTATTTTCTCAATATACTACCTGGTTTTAACGCAATCCTGTTCGTGCTTCACAATACCCCAGCTACAAATCATCGATGATGCGTGGCTCATTGTAACTGACTACAGTAAAACATCGGTTGTGTGAACTGATATTATAATGTAAGTCTTCTCCAAATTGACTGAAATTTGAGTTGCAACTAATTACCGTAATTTTGTGGTACCTGACAACATTATTGCTTGTCATTGTCGGTTCTCAATTAGGAATATATTCATTGCCCTTGACACCTATTTAGATAGATACCCCTGATATTCTTACTATATTATACGTTATTCTTGGTATCCTTGGATACTATGATATCTATATATAATGAGTGAATTCGCAAAATGCATCTCTAATAAAATTCTTCTTGTGGAATCTCTTGCAAATAAAGGAATCCCCTCTTATACGATTATTCCTAGACTCTGTAATGCGTTAAGAGATGGCTGGCTATCCTATTCAGGTGAATCTATCTTACATTTTTGATAATATGCTAAAATGACTTTATTGCATAACCTTCAAAAGACGATGGCTGGATGAGGAATTCGAGTTCGTATTGCAAGTTGCCCTAATGGCTGCTATTTGCCCTACATGTCAGTCCATGACTTGTAGAACAGATGCAAGAGCTCGTGTGCCATATAGTTAAAAGTGTCGGCTTCTGATATGTCGTATATTTGGTGCAATGTGAGTGCGATAATGCGATAATGCACTAGACTGTCCTGAAACAAAATATGTGGGGACCAGAAATAATGATGATAGAACGAAATGTGGTATGTTTTCTGTCACAGCGTAATGGGGTTAATGGTAGTAAAGATGTATTTTGCGTTGTAAAGGGTTTTTTATGTTATTATATTATTCTTTTGAACCAATACGTATATTGTGATAATAACCAATAACGAATTGCGAAATATGACAAGTGAGGTAGCGAAGGCTATTCCTAAAAGGTTTACATCGAGGTTTACCGTATCCAAAACAGGGAAAAGAAGTAACAGTAATATTAAAAATGAGGCTATAGATATAGGACGGCAAAGAAAAGTGAAATCGATGCAGGTGGTTTTTTTCACAGAGCTTCCGTCCTTACCAACCCCATCACTAGATCTTCAAGAGATTTTAATCAGGTTCAACCAAGCCACGAGAAACTGCGCTGGTGATAGTTCATGGGGGTCTCAAATATTTGACATGAAGGTGCCGACCAGGAAGAGTAGAATCAGGTGCAAAAAGACGAGGTGTCTTAATGGTTTTATGGCATTCAGATCCTTCTACAGTAGATCCATTTATAACGTAGAGCACCAAAGGGAGCTCTCGACTTTACTTGGAAAGCTATGGAAAGATGAGCCTAATAAGGCAATTTGGAATAGATATGCTATAGAATATAATTCGCAAGCGATTAACCAAGATTTTGTGGATTGGCTTTTCAAGGCGTTGGATTTGGAGGTGGAAACATTTCCAATTCCATGTACTAGCACAGTTAGGAATGAAAGTTGGACATTTTCTTCTCGAAATAATGAAAATGCCGTTGAGGATATCTATTATATTCGTACTGTGTGAGGTGATTTTATAATTGTAAATATTATATGTAATAATAAATGATCAAAATACCCATTAATTCTTTTATCCCCAAAATGTTCTGTATTATGTATATATATTTGCTAATGTTCAATCTCAATGTTTGTCTCAAAAGCTACTTTTAAAGCTACCAAATCACCGAAGAATTGAAAGTATAATTTTGTGAACCTGGCCTAAGTCTGTTCTGATATCACCTTTAGTGAAATATATATATCGCAGAACAATAAAGACTTATATTCTTGCTCTTTGATACATTGACCGGTATTATTAGCTTTCCTTTGCTTTATTTGTTGATGTATTATTACCAATTGAACTTTTCCAAGTTTTCAAATTTTCAAAGCCATTACGAGTATGTGAATAATCTTCCAACCCTTGTCTTACTCTTGATTGGGAGGTTGCGACAAATGTACCATACCTATTTATCTTCTGGTCTAGTATTTTACCACCTATCAAAACAAACTCGCTACTTTCATTTTCGTTTTGGTTACCGCCAGAAACATTCTTACAACTGATCTCGTCACCATCTCTATTGAACAAGCATGTATCGTATTCCTTGACCCGGTATTCATTGTTGATAACTAAATTATTCCCTCTGATTATATATAAGAAGAAATTAAAATTCTTCGGTAGTTTTTGCTTAAAACTTGCACCTGGTTTCATAGTAACATGATAATAATGAATAGGAGTATACGCCAAGTCCTTCAAAGATCCAATACCGGCATAGCTCCCAGAAATGATTTTAATGTGTAATTTTCCATTTTGTTCTTGAGTTTCTGGAATTTCATTACTTCTCAAGTCACGGTAACGAGGTTTGGATTCTTTCAAACGTTCAGACAAGTCAACCCATACTTGAATACCTGAAGTAAGTGACTTATCAGACGTTTTCACAGGCATTTCTGTATGAACAATTCCTCTTCCTGCAGTCATAAATTGCAAATCACCTGGATATATTACACCCTTTGAACCCGTAAAGTCTTCATGAGCGATAGCACCATTTAGCACTAATGTTATTGTCTCATGTCCTAGATGAGGATGAGGTTCGAAACCCGATCCTTCGCTTGCTTCAAAGTGATCGAACAATAAAAATGGATTGAACTTTTTCAAGGGCAAGTTTCCAATTGAGCGACGAATTTTGACTCCTAAACCCTCTTTTTTTTCTATCGCCCCAAGTATCTTATAAACCGTTCTAAAACTCATATTCTTTTGATAGTTATCTAGAATTTCAAAGAATGCCAGTAATAATACGAATTCATAATTCAGCTAAACTCATTTTTGACTAGAAACAATTCACGTGAATCAGATTAAACTATAATCTAAGCTGATCGGATGAATAAGGGGGTGCCAATATATTTATGCAGCTATTCGGGATCAGAATGATAGAAAAGAACCTCAAAAGATATAGAAATAGTTATATTAAGCCAAAAGGAATAGAAAATAAATTATCTAGTAATTGATTTATGTAAGAGAGTTTTGCAACCAATAGAGAGAACCAAAAAACAGAGTCCTTGACAGATTTAATCTATTTAACTCTACAACAATACTGGTCTATTATTTATATCTATTAATTATTATATACATTATTATACAGTAAATACTAATGCGTATTCAAGTTATGCTTATCATGCTCAGTAAAGATTCATTTGTACCTTTCTAAGTCATCTATTATTGCGTTTCGCACAGGGAGTGGGAGGTTATCCTGATTTAGCATTAATCTTCGTGCAAAGTTAGCAATGATGGATTTAGGTATTCTTTTCTTGTTTGCAAATTCCAATACCCATTTCATGGAATCTATTGATTTAATTGGATCTTTTTCCGCTATACCAATAACAAGGTTCAATAATTCGATTGCTGTGCTTGGATGGATAGTGCTTTTGAAATTTAGATTAAGCAATTCAGTTCTAAAATACCGAAATAAATGAAGCTTTTCTTTATCGTTTAATCTTGGCGAATGTAATATTCCTGACATGATCGATCTCATCACGTCATTTGTCAAATATGACTTATTATTCTCATAAGTATGGAGAAGCTTAATACATTTCAGAGGTTCATCTTCTACCATGTATTTATAAAGCGCACATTGTACAGAACGCGATTCAAAGCAAAGACCTCCTAGAAAATCACGCATCTTTATGATGCCTAGCTTTGGTGTATCCTTATTAGCCTTATTTATGAATCTCATGGTTTCAGCTACCAAGCTGTCGATGATATATTTTTTACCATAGTCAGAAAGGACAAACTGAAATGAACTACTAAAGATAAAGTTGTATAGTATATTGAAAATCATAGAAGTTTCTTTGGCTTCTAACAATGATAAAATTTGGCCAAGTGCACGGATTCGATTATGAAACCTTGCCCTTTCTTTTTTAGTTGCAAGTTTGAAAAGTTCTTGAAAATCATCAGATTGTTTTTCACGATTGTTCCGTTTCATAATTTGCTCTTTATTCCATATCCTACGCAAGAGTGTTGCAAAAAATTCTGTAAGTAGCTTCTCATCAAAAATTTTCTCTTTCAATATAAAGCTTCTAGCCATTTCAACTAAAACATAACTGGATACTCGGATATTTTGTATGATATACATGTAAAAGCTTATCGTTATATTTTGATCAATTTCCTTAGATTTTATTTTTGGCAACATAGTAAGGACAATTTCAGAGGCAAGATCAGACTTATTGAAGCGTTTGATAATGTATAGTAAAGAATCTAATGAAATTTGATTTTCTTTTTCATTGAATGTTATTTTGTTTATGAAGTCATTAAGAATCTTCGATTTTCTGGTGTCATTTTTACTACCTTTTATTTTGTTTGCTATCATCTTGAAGTTCTCTCTCGAATCTTTGAATATTTTAACTAAAGCAGTTGCTAATATTTCATCATTAATTAGGCTGTAACATTCCACGATACATGTAGTTATTAGATCAACATTTTTAGTAATGAGCATCAATCTCGTTAAATAATTGATTATATGCGAATTCATTTGGGAAAAGGCTAGATTGTAACTCTTCCTGTAAAGCAAATAGATAGTTTTTATATGCTCAGGTTTAGAATGCTGTAATATATGCAAGAAGTCATAATCATTTACACGGATAAAGTCATACGCCGAGCACTTTTCAATAAAGTACTCAAAAAACAAACTATCAGACTTATCGGATAATGGATATACAATTTGCAGTGAATTGATGTCATTAGGTAAACATTCAATAGACGAGAATGATAAAACAGAAGATATCCAACCTTGCGTTTCAACAATGCCTTTATCTTGTAGAATATTCTTCACGATTTCATGAACTTGAACACTTTGAACGCAATGCGAGTCAGTTGTCAAAGCCAACTTTAGTCTCCTTTTGTAATATAAAAGGCGGAAATATGGGATAGTGCTACGTATGTATTTTGCTTTTGAATTCTCTAGCGCTTCTAGTGTCTCAAAATTCTTAAGTTCATTCTGATATTCCATACTTGAGAAAAACATATTCTTATCAAGATCATTGCTATGACAGATTGTTTCGATTATTGTATGCTTTAGGCTTGGATTTGAAACTATTCTATCGCAAGCGGATAAAAGTTCATAAATCCCGAATTCAGTATTATTATTTTGTTTTAGTTCATCAGTTATGGTTTCTATGTATTCATCAACGTCATTTAAAGTTTCAATGCTATTAAGTGCAATCTTCCAGCATTCTTCAAACCTTCCGTGATATGCCAACCGTCTGAGAATCATTTTCTTCGTATCATTTTGAAGGGATGTTGAATTGCAAAAATTAATATAAATCAGTGGGTGAATTACAATAGGGTTATAGGTAAGTATGAGTGCAAGTTTATTGTACGTATCTACCGTTCTTTCCACATCTTCTTTAATTTTTGAGTCTAATTTGGAATATACTGTTTCAAAAACGATGTCGCTAATAACCCTATCACTTTCTTGTATCTCAGTTTCCCTAATAATTAAAGTATCTGCAAGTATTTTGGTCTCGTGTTTTATTAAGTTGATCAAAAAGTCTGAGACTTTCTTCTTGATCGAATTTGGTTTTATGCTTGAATTGTCTTCGAAATTAATTTTTTGATGATCATTATTTGAACTTAAAAATACAATATGACTTTTGTACGGTAAATCAATATTCCATATTCTAATTCTTCGGCTACTTCGATATCGCCTTAAGTTATTAAACATTTTACCACATAGATGGTCTATATACATGTATTATCTTAATATAATTAGATTATTGATTTCTAGAATTAAGGCTTCGTTTTATTTTCGCATTCTATGAGACATTTTTAAAAGATAAATATTTACAAGTAGCTATTAAAGCAGTACATGTGAATGTTCAGAATATGGCTCAAGTAATATGGAATTCAGATATAGATGTTTATAATTCTCAAGTGATACCTGTACTGGTTGCTAGAAATATATCGAAATATTTATCTGTTCAAGATTTATTAGCGTTCGGCCAAGTATCAAGAAATACATTCAAAACAGTTAATGATCCTAATCTTTGGGTTTCAAAATTAAAAGATATGGAAGTATGGGATCATGGGATTATACCCAGCGGTCAAAAAATTGAATTAATTGGATTGGACAATCCATTGGTGTGTTTGGACAAAGTTGTAAAATCACCTAAAGTAGCAAAACTTCAGGTACGAAAAATATACCGATGCCTTTATCCTTATTACAACGATTTACTTTCTCATAAACCATACAATAAATTGAAGATTTTTAAAGATTTCCAGACGCCCGAGGACCAAGCCAAAATATTAGACAATCTTTTAAAGCTCAACAAAATTGATTATGATGAACAATCGGGTTTAATAATCAAGGACAAGATCAATTCTTTATTTGAAATATTTGAAAATGCGCTATTAAGAGAACTAGAGATTCATTATGATATTCAAGACTATGCTAAAACACGAAAATTTGTCAAAATCTTAATTCGTTTAAAAAATCAGCAGACATTGATTGATTTTTTTCTTCAAAAGAGTATATTTGACAATGAAGACTGCAGGTTCTTTAATATAGAAGAGTTTGAAGCGAATGAATACTTTGTTGAAAAAGAAAACCTTATAGATACAAATTCATCGGACGAGGATATCTCATATGACCTTAATATTAGTTTATTTGACAAATTCATTGAAGATTTAGCCGAGATATTTAACAATGAGGCAAGCATAATCGATCAGATTTTTCCTCAAGAAATTCCAATGATGTATAAGGTTTGCGAGGAGCTTATTGCGAATCAGGTCATGGAATTGTTTATGGCATTATTAGACGCCTCCAAACCCAAACGAATGTATTTAACTTTAGTGCCCTATTTATACCAAATTTTAACAACTACTTTCATTGAAAAATTAATAGAATGTGAGAATGTGGGACCTAGTTATCCCCGACTAGTTCGTGAATTAATTGACATGCTGTACGAATCGTTTGCAGCTGAGTATATACGAGAGGAATTGCAGATATTTAAAGACAATTCTAATCAGAATATTAAAGACTGGAAGGATTCGTTTTCAAGGCGGGAAGCTGAAACCACTCAGAGTATCCTAAAGCATGTTAAAGTTGAAACTAAGAATGATTTTTTAAGTAGTTTTAAAAAGGTATTTACTATCAATGCTTCGTCTAACAAGGATGAGAGTGAATCAGACGAGAAAAACTATTCAGAGATCCAAGCAAAGACAAAGATATTGTCAGAAAATTTGAAATCTTTGAACAAGATATTTAGTTTAGAATTGGTTATGGATATTTTAAATGAGGCGAGAGGTTCATTTAATAGGTTATTGAATTTTAGGGATTTCTCAATAGTTGCGTTGAAGAATGATATTTTAGCAAGTACACAAGAAGTATTTATTACTGTGATTGATTCTACCGGAAATGAACACTTAAGACCAGGGTTTGAAAAGGCCTTGGAATATTTGAAAACATATGACCCTAAAGAACTAAAGCTAGATTCGAATTCGGAATCGTTTATTGAACCATTGGTCTTATATTGCGAATTAATTAATATGGCTGATATGATTATACAGATGATAGATATTTTTTACAAAGAGGAAATGCTTAATCGTCACATAGTAAAGCATGAGAATTCCATTTTGAATCCGGCCTTGCAAAACAAAAAGAAGCTTGAAGGTTTAGTAGATAATTATGTTGCTGATGGTTTAAATATAGGAATCGATGTTTTAATGACAGAAATAGAAAATGTTTATAAGACTTATTTGAAAGATTCCGATTACAACCCTCCATCTAATACTTCGACAATAATGGATGGACCCACGGAGGCAGCGACCAAAGTTGTTAAAATATTGGATAATAATATTGATTTACTCGTTGGAAGTACTGACAAGTCTATTGTTGAAGTATTTCAACAGGAAATTGCTGAGCGATTTTTTCAGTTACTAGTGAAAACTTTGAAGAGGAGCACCATATCAGTATCTGGAGCAATAAACCTTATATCTGACTTGAACCTATATTATGATTTTATTGTTAATCATATTAAGACAAATAAAAGAATGATTATACCGTTATATCAGTCACTTAAGAAAGTTGGCAGTATCTATTTAATAGGTGGTAATGAGTCTAAATCTATCGGAAAATTGGTTAGTGATCTATCAAAATTCAACGGTATATTTGGACAAGAAGAAATCTATGAGTTTGTACAAAGGAGACAAGACTGGCCATTAATTAAGAGGGATGTCGAGAAGGTTATGTACGGCTTAAGTTTGGGAGATTGTGTAATTATATAATATACTTTAAAAATGCATAAATTGATGTTAAAATAATTAAGAAGTATATATAATCACGTGAGTGAATATATATTTTAAAAATCTGTTGATAATAATTACTAGAGATGTCATGAATTGCATCATGCTTCGATGTTATAGACATAGACTTACCGGTGCAGGATTACACCGGACTGTGATATCCCGACACTATTCAAATGTTTCTACCAAAATAAATACGAAAGTGCCGGATATGTACAGTATAAATGACATGAAGGATGAGAATGAAATAAATGCATCTATATTTGCACGATTGTCAAAAGTATATCAGATATTAAGCAGTAGGACAAGAAGGTTCAGATATGCTGCTAATGAGTGCCGTGATATTTATATCCAAAATAATGCTAGTCTTTTAGATGATCTTCTACAATATCCCAGGATTAACAAAGATATGATAACATTTTTATTTTTTAACTATACATTTTCCAACTCGATCAAGGCACTTCTTTTGGATGATCTCAATCGTCTTCTTATGGTAGGAAACTTTGAGGTTGTCCTAAAATCTTTTAAAAATATGATAGAATCAGGTATAGTTTCAAATTCAGTAGAAAGTGATTTTATGCATATCAGTACCCATAGAGGGCGAGTGACAGAGACAGAATTGAGAAATAGACTAGCAGACTTAATAGTCAATCAGGCTGTTAGTTCCGGTGAGCATTTACTAGCATCATCATTTGCATTAAGATTCAAAGCTTCCAACATTCCTTTGAACAACCAAACCATTCGTCTACTTCTTCATTCTCTAGCCGTTGATACGACTATCAACCACATTTACAACTCATACACGATTATTAAGATCTTAAATGAATTCTCCACAAACGATATAAAATTACCAGACATGTGCAATTTATTACTATATTTGGCCGAAGGAAAGCAGCAACCTTTTTTTGCAAACATACTTTATGATTGGATATTGCAAAGTTCACTTCTTAATAAACAACTGGAAGGCGATTTAAAGAAATTTAATGAAGCCGCTATTAAACTAATGCAACAAAATATAGAACACGGTGATGTGACGAGAGCAGACAAGATATGGAACTCAATTAAGAATATAGAGATAACTTCTGCCACGAATACAGTAGCCTTAAGTAAACTAATAGAGAAACTTATAGAAACAGATGAGGATGCTGCAGAAAATATAGTATATGAAAATCTATCTACAGAACTTTACAATAATCCTGATTTACAAGATTGCATTTTGAGGTTCTTCGGCACTCACCCCAAACATGTCGAGATGTTTGAAAAATTAATGAAACAATTAAAACCACCATTAAGAAGACTGACATTATCACTGTTATTTGAGGCCTTCTTGCTGCAAAATAATGAATCTGGGGCAGAAAAAATTTTACTGTTTATATTCAAATCCAAAAACGGAATTAACTTCTTAGATTTTGATTCTATCATTAGAAAATTAATAAGGCAACAAAAGATAACTCAATGTATTGACATGCTCAGATCAACTGATATAGAAATTTCCAAAGTGGGACATATTAGTGTTTTTAAGTATCTTATCCGAACTCCAAATGGTAACGAAAAGAAGAAATTTCTTGAAGATTTAGCCGCTCGCTTTCATAAATTGGATAATAATGATGAATGCTTTCAGTTGTTGACTATAGCATTTTTTGCTTACGTTTCAGAACATATTAATAATCGAGTCAGTCGAAGTTTGTTTACGCAAATTAGTCGTAATTCTCATGAAGGTATCACTACTCTCCGTGATTCTGGTGATAAATTAAACTTAGAGCAGTATTCATTTCCTAAGGGTTTTCTGCAACTATTATCCTTCGAGGGGAGTGCCAGATTGGAATGTTTATCAATCATTTCCAACCACGCAATTCAAGATTACGATTTAAACACATTGAAATGGTGCATCGAAGAGTTAAGGTTTTCTGGTGTATTACTAGAAGATATATTAAAGAGCATGTTTAAAAAAGATCCCCAGTTTTATAAAGAAGTATTACAAGTGGAGAGTTTACCTTCTCCTGTCCAGCATTAGTTACTTTTATAATTGCAATTATTAGCATTTATACAATATATTTACAGGCATTTATAATTCAATAAAAAGATCATTTCTTTTTCTTATTTGACTTTTTGTCTAACAACTTTCCGCCTTTGACTTCTTCCACATTATGCCCCATTAATTCAATGTAGTCATCATGTTTTGATTTCGTCAGGTTATTTTCGTTATCAGCAGAATTTTCCGCCTGAATATCAGCTACATCTTGATCATCTTTTTGTTCAAACGAAGAGAATCTTTGTTTGAATCTGTTAACCTTACCTGTAGCATTTGGATTGATGCTTGCCAAGTCTGATCTGTGTGGATTCCATAATGTACTATTTCTTTGATCGTTAATCATTCTTATTTCATCCTTAGGTGCTTGAGATCTTCTTTTAATGACTGAACCATCACTAAGCTCTACTAATGTTTCAAATTGATGGAAAATCGCAGGCCTAGCTTTACCGAGCTTAATCTTTCTCATTACTCTTCTATTGGATAAGTGAACATCACCTTTCATAGCAACATTTCTCTGAAATGACCTCGAAACAGGAACTAACCCGTTCTTAATATTACTTCTATTAAACATTTGTAATAAGTGAATGGGTACTTTCCCTATATTATATCTCTATTCTATTTTCTACCATTAGATTTTTTCCATAATTTTCAGAGTAGTGCACCTGTCATTTTCTTCAACAATAAATTTATTTGATCTAACAAATTTGTTATAAAAGACATTGGAAACATCTTATCCAAGTTAAAATATATTGATAAATCAATAATATAATGTCATTCTCCACACAAACACCGACAATCGTTGTTTTGAAGGAAGGAACAGACCTGTCTCAGGGTAAGGGTCAAATCATTAATAATATTAATGCGTGTTTAGCCATCCAAGATACCTTGAAACCAACATTAGGTCCATTTGGATCTGATATTTTAATTGTCTCTTCTAATGGAAAAACTACTATCTCGAATGATGGTGCTACTATCTTAAAGTTGTTGGATATTGTTCATCCAGCCGCTAAAATGTTAGTGGATATTTCCCGTGCTCAAGATGCAGAAGTTGGTGATGGTACAACTTCAGTAACCATTTTGGCAGGTGAGCTTTTGAAAGAAAGCAAAACATTTATTGAAGATGGAATTTCATCTCATCTTATCACCAAGGGGTTGAGAAAAGCAAGTGAATTAGCTGTTGCAAAGGTCAAAGAGGTGGCGTTAGAAATCAAAAAAGATGATGAAGTCGAATTCCGCCATTTACTTGAAAGATGTGCCAAAACTGCAATGTCTTCTAAGCTTATAAGTAAAAATTCTGATTTTTTCACTAAAATGGTAGTTGACTCCGTGTTAAGTTTGGACCAAGATGACTTGGATGAGAAATTAATAGGAATTAAGAAAGTTCCAGGTGGTGGAATGGAAGATTCTTTATTTATTGACGGTGTTGCCTTCAAAAAGACCTTTTCATACGCTGGGTTCGAACAACAACCAAAAAGGTTTTCAAATCCAAAAATTTTAAACTTAAATATTGAATTAGAATTGAAGGCCGAAAAGGATAATGCTGAAGTGAGAGTTGAACAAGTTCAAGACTATCAAGATATCGTGGATGCAGAATGGAAGATAATTTTCTCAAAATTAGAAGCAATCAAGGATACTGGTGCGAATATTGTGTTATCGAAATTGCCCATTGGTGATTTAGCCACTCAATTTTTTGCTGATAGAAATATTTTCTGTGCCGGAAGAGTTGCTGCTGAAGACATGGATAGAGTTATTAAAGCGGTCGGTGGTAGAATTCAATCCACATGTTCAAATATTGACGAGAAGGATTTAGGAACCTGCGAAGATTTTGAAGAAGTTCAAATAGGTTCAGACAGATATAATGTATTTAAAGGGTGTCCTCAAACTAAGACTTGTACATTGATTTTGAGAGGTGGTGCCGAACAAGTTATTGCTGAAGTTGAAAGATCATTACACGATGCCATCATGATTGTTAAAAGGGCAGTTACTCACAATTCAGTTGTTGCTGGTGGTGGTGCTATTGAAATGGAAGTTTCAAAGCACTTAAGAGACTACGCTAAGACTGTAGCCGGCAAACAGCAATTGATTATAGCAGCATTTGCCAAGGCATTAGAAGTTATTCCAAGACAATTATGTGAAAATGCAGGTCTTGATGGTATTGAGCTTTTAAATAAATTAAGAAGTGCACATGCAAAGGGAGAAAATTCTTATGGCATTGATTTCCAAAAGGAATCGGTTGGAAATAATATGAAGAACTTTATTTGGGAACCATCGTTGGTTAAAATTAATTCTATTCAATCTGCCACTGAAGCTGCTACGTTATTATTATCAGTTGACGAAACAATCCAAAACGAAGATGCAAATCAAGAATCTAGAGGAAGAGGCGCCTACTAGTTTTACGTTCTGAAATCGCCGCAATTATATACCATTTCTTTATATACTAATTCTAGTGTATTATAGACCATTTTCAAATATATACACTCAGGAAGTAATTCACACTTAAGATCTTAAGTATTTTATATACGTAAAATCGATCAGCTAATTTTAATACTGCGTATAAAGATAAATCTATCTCATTTGGTATTTTTGAAGTATTAGTTATTATTGAAATAAAACTCGAAAAATTCCAACTTATTTAAATAGTATATACATAAAAAGAACAGAATAGAACTTCCATTAAGAATTGGGAATTGCTGTCATAAGAATATCGAAAATAACTACTTATGACTATTCAAACGATCACCGATAAGAAATTATCACATCAAGTATCAATAAACATACCATTTGAAAGCGAGAAACAAGCGCTGATTGCATGCAACAGTTTATCACCAGACCTAATTTTAAGATCAACGGAACTAAGTGTTTCTTGTAGAAGTTCTGATAGAAGCTTAATATGTGAATTTGGTGGTACAAGTGATAGGGTTATAAGAGTTGCTATAAGCAGCATTATTGATAACTTAAAAACTATAATAGAGTGTATGGATGAGTTCGACGGTAAGGAGGATGTGATCTTTACTGAAGCATAATTTCCTACGTGTATGTATATATGTGGTATAACGAATTGAAAGAGAAGCATGTCTGATTCTTTGTGTAATTTTTTTTTTTTTAACGTACTATTTGATTTCATTCATTTTCTCCAATAAAGAGCTTAATTTATAATACATGCAATGCAGAAACTGATAACGGTTGCTAGACAACCAGTTTGTAAAAGTTATGAGTCTACTTTTAAAGTCTTTAACCGGACTCTTTTCAAGAAGTTCCGAGAGACACCTAAGAAATTAGCTAATTTCGATGAGAGTGAAGGCTTTCACCACGAATATTCAATACGGCCAGATACTTTTGCATTCAAGGTATCAGGCGCCAATGAGAGATCAAGAACAGTAGTTGATACCAAGAGGGAAAAAATACATCCAACTGACAAAAAGGTACATCCATTGCAAAAAAATAATTCTAAAAATGGGTTTAATGTAGTTGACTTTATCTATAGAAACTCCACTAATTACCCTTTTAATGAACGTTCACCACAAGAAGTATTCAATGAATATCCGCTTACTAATTCCTCAAAGTTATCTAGGCGTTTACATCGTCCAAAGAAGATCAAAATGCTTACTTCTGATTTTATAGACGATTCTTTATACAACCCAAACTATGGATATTTTTCACAAGAAGTTGAAATTTTCCACCCTGACCAACCGTTTGATTACAATAATATTTCCGATGTTGATGACTTTATGGATAATTGGCAAAAAGCTTATTCAAAATATGATGAAATGAATCCCAAAGCCTACCAGGCTAAACAAAAGCTTAAAGATATAGCGAAGCAAAATGAAGTTTCTAAAGAAACTGACTCAAAACTTGCCCGTAGAGCCAAGCAAATTTACAAGAAAGAAACAGAACTAGTACAGACTGGCCAATTTTCCAAAACGAAGAGATCGTTACAATTATGGCATACACCAACAGAATTATTTCAACCCTATTATGGTGAAGCTTTGGCTCGCTACTTATTAGTAAATTATAAATTAAATGGCTATTATCCTTATAATGATTTAATAATTTATGAAATGGGAGGAGGTAATGGTACCCTAATGTGTAACATCCTTAATTATATCAAAGAGAACCAACCGGATGTTTACGCTAGAACCCAATATAAAATCATTGAAATTCTGAGCCAGTTAGCTGAGAAACAATATTCAAATGCATTGAAATCAAAATTAATTCTGCAAGGGCTAGACTCTCTGAAGTTGGAGATTATTAATAAATCAATATTTAATTGGGATAGAATAGTGGAGGATCCCTGTTTTTTCATAGCATTGGAAGTATTCGACAATTTCGCTCATGATTTAATTAGATATGATAACGTTACAGGTGAGCCGTATGAGGGCCATGTCTTGATTGATGAGCATGGCGACTTTTATGAATTTTTCACGCCAGAGTTAAGTTATTACTCAAATGCATTTTTGCAATTACGAGAAAATGGACAATATCCAGTCTTAAAGCATTCAGATACGGTTCTCGGCAAGATAGAAACAGCAAAAAGTATGGTTCCATTTGTCACCAACAAAGACAAAATTCATCCTCTTTACCATTCATCTCAGAAGCTAAAAACGATGAATTACCTTTTACCCTTTAAAGATAATTTAACGCCTGGAGAATTTATTCCAACAAAATTATTACATTTTTTTCAGATTTTGAAGCATAAATTTCCTCAGCATTCGTTGATCTGCTCTGATTTCCATTTTTTACCAAACTCCATCAATGGCTACTACAATGCACCCGTGGTTCAAACAGTCATTCAAGATAAGATGGTCGACGTAACTACATACATGTGCTATCAAGGTTATTTTGACATAATGTTCCCTACGGATTTTGGAGTGGCTGGAGATTTATACAAGCAGGTTACTGGTAAAGTTCCACGAGTCGAACTGCATCATGATTTTCTAGAACATTGGGCTGATACTGATATTACAAGTACCAAAAAAGGAGAAAATCCAATGCTAGATTTTTATACAAACGTTAGCTTTATGGTTAGTTAGTCTAAACGGTTTTTTTATTTTTTAATCTTGTATATAGTATTTTAATTAGATCTTTGCCGTACATATCACGTGAAATTACATTTTCAACATCATCTCGGGGCGATAGTTGCAAATAAATTTAAACGACGCCATACCTTATATATAAGACCACTATACCCCGTAATACTCTATGGATATTCGATTAAGGAGGTCGCTACATTTCTATATTTAATTCTTTGTAAAATACTAGAATTTCGCTCTAAGATTTTAAATTTTAAAAGGTGCAAATGAGTTTCGTAATCAGCCCAATGAAGAGGCTTAAATGGGGTTTTATACCCAGGAAGAGAATAGTTGAGGATTTCGAAGATTCGAATGACAACAGTATTGATGAAATAGTTATCGTGGAAGAGAATGACGAGATTGACCAGAAAAAATCTGTATCGACAGACAATGATAGCTCGGATAAGAATCTAGGCAGAAATGACCAAGACGTAGAAATAGAATATCGTGATGAGAAAAATCGTAAATGGTGGAAATTCTTTGACGAATATGAATACAGAGTCAATAAAAGTGGTCGTTCTAAACATAAGTGGTATAAGTGGTTTAATGAGACAGACACTCCAGCTGAAAGGAAATTGATTATGAAGCTTGACATATTGTTGACATTCTACTCGTTAATGGCTTACTGGGTCAAGTATTTGGACCAGACTAATCTTAATAATGCGTATATCGGTGGAATGAAAGAAGGTCTTGGTATGGAAGGAAATGATTTGGTTAATACTCAAGTAATGTTTAATGTTGGTAATATCGTGTTCCAAATTCCATTTATGTATTTGTTATATGCAGCCCCTTTGAATTTTGTATTACCTTCATTAGATATTTGCTGGTCAATCTTGACTGTTTGCTTGTTTCGTTCCGGTAATGTCAAAGGGTTGAAAGCCATGAGATTTTTTATTGGTGCTTTTGAAGCACCCTCCTACTTAGCATACCAATACCTATTTGGTTCGTGGTACAAAGTTGATGAAATTGCCAGAAGATCAATGGTTTATTATTTTGGTCAATACTTAGGACTTTTAACCTCTGGATTATTATCAGGTGCCATAGAGGATTCCCTTAATGGCAAAAATGGAATAGCTGCCTGGCAATGGATTTTCATTGTTGATGGTATAGTATCAATAGCAGTAGGAGTAATTGGGTTTTATTTGCTTCCTGGTACGCCTTCTGAATGCTACTCTATCTTTTTAACAGACGATGAGATTAGGTTAGCTAGAAGTCGTTTGAAGGAAAATAAGACAGAGGTCAACCCAAAGAAAAGTGTATCAGATTTATTTGATTTAGACCTTTGGAAGTCGATTCTTTCGTCTTGGGAAATCTACGTATTATCTTTGTGGAATATGTTTTGTTGGAACAACAATAACGGTAGTTCTGGTGCCTATGCGTTATGGTTAGATTCCTTGAATAGATATGGAGATGGAATGAAACAACGTATGACATCATTAACTCCAGGGTTGGGCCTTATATGGCTTCTCTTGACATGTTGTTACGCTGATTTATTTCATAGTCGTTGGCTGGCAATAATTTTTTCACAGGTTTTTAACCTTACTGGAAATATTATCCTTGCCGTTTGGGATGTTCCCGAACGATCTAAATGGTTTGCTTGGTGCTTACAATATTTCGGCTGGGCAATGGCACCTGTATTATATTCGTGGCAGAATGACATTTGTCGTAGAGATGCTCGTAAGAGGGCTGTTATTTTGGTAACAATGAATATCCTTGCTCAAGCATCTACGGCTTGGATGTCTGTTATCGTCTGGAAAACAGTGGAAGCACCAAGGTATTTGAAGGGTTATACCTTTACTGCATGCTGCGCCTTCATGTTATGTGTATGGACGTTCGTTGTGTTATATTTCTACAAGAGAACTGAGAAAAAATATGCCAAAGATAATGGTATAATTCTTTATAATTCTGATCAAGTAACAGAGAATGATCTAGAAATGATTCAGACTAAGACACAAGAAAACAAATAGACTATAGAACTAGTATCGTATATACTTTATTCATTATAAATTTTAATATCTAATTATCTATATTCTTGCAGTAGTAGTTTCCCTTATATGTATACTGTATATAGACATCAACAAATATCAAAAAAATACTCATCTACCGAAGTGAAGTATTAGACCATCACAATTTTAATATTTATTACTATAATAAGCTAATAATAATAAAATAATACTAATAATATGGGTGTTCCAGCGTTATTTAGATGGCTATCTCGTAAATACCCAAAGATTATATCACCTGTTGTGGAAGAAGATGTCACACAAGAAATTGGTGCAGCGCAATACGGCGATTCAAATCCAAATGGTGAGTTAGACAATTTATATTTAGATATGAATGGGATTGTTCATCCATGCTCACATCCTGAGCACAAGCCTCCACCAGAGACAGAAGACGAAATGTTTTTGGATGTTTTTAAATATACTGATAGAGTGTTATTGATGGCGAGACCTCGAAAAGTTTTAATGATCGCCGTTGATGGGGTTGCTCCAAGAGCCAAAATGAACCAGCAAAGATCGAGAAGATTTAGATCTGCACAAGATGCGAAAATTGCACACGAAGAAAAAGAACGCCAAATCAGAGAGCGGGAATCGAGAGGTGAACTGATCGATGATGCAATCAAAGGTAAAAAATCTTGGGATTCCAATGCTATTACACCGGGTACACCGTTTATGGATAGCTTAGCGCAAGCATTAAGATACTGGGTAGCCTATAAATTAGCAACAGATCCTGGCTGGGCAAATTTACAAGTCATTATTAGTGATGCAACCGTTCCTGGTGAAGGTGAACACAAACTTATGAGTTTCATAAGGCTGCAAAGGCTGGATCCAGAATATGATCCAAATACGAAGCATTGTATCTATGGTTTGGATGCTGATTTAATTTTCTTGGGGTTGGCAACTCATGAACCGCATTTCAGGGTTTTAAGAGAAGACGTCTTCGCCAATCAATCAAGACAGATGAGAATATCCGATCAGCTTCTGATGACTCAAGAACAAAAAGATTCCATAGCGGAACAAGATGCGAAGAAGCCTTTCTTGTGGTTACATGTTAATGTATTGAGAGAGTATTTGGAAATTGAATTATATAACCCACATTTATCTTTTCCATTTGATTTAGAAAGAGCAATTGATGATTGGGTGTTCATGTGTTTCTTTGTTGGTAATGATTTCTTGCCTCATTTGCCAAGTTTAGACGTTAGAGATAACGGTATTGATATACTTGTTAATTGCTGGAAAAGAATGTTACCGAAGCTACGGGATTACATAACTTGTGATGGTAATCTTAATTTGGATAGTGTTGAAAAATTACTATCTAGTTTGTCGTATAAAGAAGATGAAATCTTTAGAAAACGACACGAAGGAGAAAAGAGGAGGGAAGAGAATGACAAGAGACGTAAGCTTGCACAAGAAGAAGAAAAAGCGTTAAAGAATCAATATATACCTCAGGTTTCAAAAGGTAGCGATAAGGCCCCATTAACAGCTGATATTAATATGCCCTTGTTATCTACAAGTGGCGATGCTGTTGAGGGCTATGCACAATTATCGAATAAAGATATTGTGGAGAATAGAGATGTTATTACAAAGGCGAATATGTCCAATGCTGACGCTGCGGCAGCTTTAAAGAAGTTACTTGATTCTAAAAATTACAAAGAGACCGACAAAAACGTGAGTGCATCTGCAGCGATACAAGAACAGCAGAATAAGCTGGATATAAATACTAAAGAGAATTCGAAAAAGAGACCAATTGATCAAGTCGAGGCTGAATTACCAAAGCCGGATGAAAATGGCGATTCTGTTAGGATGTGGGAACCAGGATATCGCCAGCGATACTACCAAAGTAAATTTGGTGTAGTATCAGAGGAAGAAATCAACAAAATTCGTCGTGATATGGTCCGCTGTTATTTAGAAGGCATTTCCTGGGTATTATTATACTATTACCAGGGTTGTCCCTCATGGCAATGGTATTATCCATATCATTATGCACCTTTTGCAGCAGATTTTGTAAATATAAATGATATTATTGGCGAGCAAGGTATCAAATTTACACTTGGAGAGCCCTTTAAACCATATGAGCAGTTAATGTCAGTGTTACCAGCGGCTTCCGGACATAATTTGCCTGAAGTGCTTAGGATTTTAATGTCAGATCCAAGTAGTGAAATACTTGATTTTTATCCTGAAGAGTTTCAAATTGATATGAATGGTAAAAAGATGAGCTGGCAAGGTATAGCACTATTGCCGTTTATTGATGAAAATAGACTACTAGAAGCATTAGAGAAGCGGTACCACTTGTTAACGGATGATGAAAGAGAAAGAAATACTTTGAAGAATGAAGTCTTATTCATTTCTAATCAAAACAAAAACTATAAGCGTTTCTATAATGAATTATATTATAACAATGTAAAAGAATTACAATTCAGGTTTAGCAGATCTAGTTTAGCAGGAACTGTTATCAAGAATGAGTACTTTATCCCTGACGGAATAACTAAGTTTCCATTAAGAGAAGGTGATATGCCAGATTTAAATAATAATGAATTTTTCCAATCCTCTTACAAAATGCCAGCCAAAAAGATGGGCAAATCAATGCTTATTAATGGATATATTTCACATACTAGAACATTAACCCAAGAAGATAGGGATTCAATACTTTACGGAAATCAGAGAAATGGTGGGTACAATAGGTTCCGTACACCAAATGATAATAGTGGATACGTAAATAAGGGTCCGAGTGGTAAGGAAGACTATTTGATCTACTCTATGAGAAGAGGCGGATATAGAGCTTTCATGCACAATTTGAAAAATCAAACTCAGCAAAACCAACAACCTGTTCCTATGAATACGATGGCTAATAATAGTTACGATAATCAATACAACAGCTATAGTAACAATAGCAACTATAACAGTAATTACAATGGTGGTTATAATAATTATAGAAACAATGCAAACGTGTATTCTAATCAG